TCTTTCGTAAAATTGAAGCAATTTGGAAATCAAAATACAATAGAATTTAACATTAGTACACAATATAAAATAAATATTGAAAATTATAACGAGATAGTTACGGCTAATAGATGTATTAATTAGATGTTATCGAAGCGAGAATTGGCATTTAGAGGGCGTATAGAATCTATTAAATCTAATATAACAGAGTTAATTATATTGAACTTGCTTATTTATTAAGTGCGTTAGATAATCTATTAATTAAAAATACATTTAGAGAAGTCTACGGTTTTTACTGGCTTATCGAACAAACGAATACGAATGGACCCTAGATCATTGCTGACTGATTGCCCCTGAAAGTCGGCTTCTTATAGAAACACAGCTTTCCTATCAAATGTCATGGCACGCCACTGTTGTGCCATACTGGATATTTGTCCAGTATGGCACAAGTAGAGGACTCTGTAGTCAATAAACATTTCTCAGCAATAGAAGATGTATTGGTAGTTCATTAAGTACACAAATAAATAAAAATAACAAATATGAAAAAAAATTGGTTAAATTTTACCTACATGCACCGTCATGGCGGCGGTCGCGACTATTCGGGCTCCCGACGGACTCCTCAATCAATTGTTTAACGTCACTAGTTATTGATTCACGGTAGTTCTTGAACACACGTATCAATAACTAGTGACGTTAACTAAAACGTTTTTTGCATGTACAGTACTGTACAGTATTTTAAGTCAGGCTGTTAAACACGTTACGGAAATCCTTTGAGGATTAACCGTGATTTTTTTTTCTATCTATCCACCTTTAAATAAAAATAATTCTTTATACGTTGGGAAATATTTTAATAAGTTTTGTAAATTACTATGTTCGATCCTGCCAGTTATATCCGATTTTTTTTTTGTCTGTTAAGTACTGTACATCCTTTGAGGATTTCCGTAACGTGTATAACAGCCTTCACGATCTGTTACGGGAAGATCTGGCAACACAGAGAGAGGGGGAACGTGCAAGACAGACAGCCCTCACTGGTGTAGAAGAGTGGAGATCGCCCGGTCCAAGTAGGACCCCGAATAAAGCATTCAGAGTATAAGTGTCTGTATTCCTGTCTCGCGGGGGGTCTTAAGTGCGTCACGAAGGGCGTATAAACATTAAGTAAACCACATAACACGATTCTTATTTTAAGATCAATTTGCAGGCATGTAAATTAAACCGACAACTTTTGTTCTGTGATAGAAGTTCTTGCTGGAAAAGTACGAAAAGTATGTTTCGCGATTTTATCGTCAAATCTCAGATTATTTATAAGTGAATTTTTTGAGTTGGCTACTTTGGGCTACTTTTATAAAATTTTTGGTTACAAGAACTAAAAAACATATGGCAACATTGACACCGAGTTCGTAAAAATCATTTTTTGAAAAGTTCATATTATAGGATAAATAGTGAAAAATCATTTTTCTTTCTATCGAACTGCCATCGTTAGATCCCATTTAATAAAACAATTGTAAGTATTGATTATTATTCATTTTAAGCAGTACAGAAGGTTTTTAGACTGTAAAAAAAATTAGACTAAAAAAATCCTAGCAACGAGTTGCCTAACTTGGCACTTGTGCAGTTTAGGGAGTACGGCTGTTTGAAAGGTTTTCTTCCATAAAATTAATTGATTCTAAACTAATTTGACTCGAACATTTCTTAAGCATGTTTTCGTCGCGGAGCGGTTCATCGGACGGCGGACGCGTACGAAGCTTGTCACGTGACATTTGTCGGTGCTATTCGGTCACGTGATTACTCATCTCTGACGTTTTCCTGATAAGTTATTCTTTCTGCGAAAAATTCGCTGAACTTTGGAGACATCATTTATAGAAATATTAAAACATTATTCCATTCTAAATATGGATTAAAATCAACATATAATAACATATGATAATGCAATAAATAACTAATAATTCTGCTCTGCTTTTAAATGGCCTAATCTCTTTCTAATTACAGTAAAAATACCATAGTATATTATGTGTTTTGTCTCCAAAGTTCAGCGAATTCATCGCAAAAAGAATAAGTTATCAGGAAATACGTCAGAGATGAGTAGTCATGTGACTGAATAGCACCAACACTGCCTAGCTAGTTTTTTAATGTGATCTAATTCTCTAATTCTGTCTTGGGGTTTGCTGTAGAATTAGAGAATTAGATCACATCAAAAAACTAGCTACGCAGTGCGGTGTCAGCCAGGATATAATAAAGGCCATTATTAACAAAAGAAGAATAGATGATAATGAAGGTAATGAGCGAGAAAGAATAGAAGAATACACTATGATGGAATATATGGCACCCCTAAGCAAAATTTACAAAGAAACAGGAACAGCAACAAACAAAAAGATAATTTTTAAAAGGAATCCAACAATATACCAAATGCTGCATACAGACAAGCAAGACATAGACCAGAACCTGATACCAGGAGTTTATAGACTACCAGTACACGATGAAAGGTGACAAAAAGAGCTATATTACATTGGAGCCACAAGGAGTTCAAGGCTAAAAGAGCATAAAAAAAACGTACAGAATGAACAGTCAGTAACAGCACTAGCAATGTACCATATATTATGGCAGACCCGACAGAGGTCATAGCAGATTGGGAAAGAGCTAAAATAATACAAAAGATCCATGACAAGAGACACCTGAAATATGCTGAAGTATGGCAAATACATAAGACAAACCAGGAAGGATTAGTGATAAACTACAGAGAGTCGAGTAAAGTCTCAGCAGTGTGGAGAACAGGCATAATATGATAATTTTAGTACGAAAAAAGGGACAAACAGTAGAGAAGTTTTCTTTTATTTTTTTTATTCTTTTATGTTATTTTTTTTGTACAAGCCTGTGCACTAGATAAGAAAATTCAAATGTTTAAATGTTCCAAAAGAAAGTTCATTATAGAAAGCAAAATCAGAATCATTTAATTTTTCTGTTCCTGAGGAAGACCATTCAAAATGGCCGAAAACATTTGGAAAAATGAATAAAAAGGTTGCATTTTAAATGTTTTTCTTTCGAGGTATAAGTTGTATTTAAGTGCAGTTACAGAAGAGTGTAAGATGTTTTAGTTGTGTATTTATTTTTATAACACGCAATAAAAAGTTGTAAAATCACATAAGTATGGTTACAGATTGGTGTGATAAACCCTTAAAAATAAAAATGATTAAACTATATTTTATCAATTTATAAAATCATAAGAATAAGAGTAAAAAGTTTTAAAAATTAAATATTTTAATCAATTGCCTAGATATTCCTATATAAGTTCTTTAAAGCAAACTTGTGTTTGATTTAAACAACTTTAAACAAAACAGTAAGGTATTAAAATCCCAATTGTTTTAGGTAATACTATTATACCTAGAAGTACAAAAATAGTAGATTTAATATTTTATACACAAATACTATTCAAATATGCATATAAACAAAGCATAATTTACTTTTTAACTTATTTTTCCAGTGTATTCCATAATACAAAATGACTGAAGAAACTGAAGATATTTTAACCTTTAAATTGAGTGAAATGGATATAAAATTTTCAAATGACAATGATCCAAAAGGTGCATTACCAGTAAGGTGCTGGGGACGTGGATGGAAACGTCCAGACATTAAAGACTTAGATTTTTCAGGATTTTTTCAGAAATTTGATAAAGAGAATTTTGTAAGTATCTATATTTTACTTCTAACAGACAAAAATTTGATATTTTAATTATTAGAATTTTGTACAAATACATTTTGCTTGCAGTCATAGAAATTATAATGAACTGTATGTATAAGAAAATCCACAATGCATAAGTTTTCAGTGTTCTTTTCTATTAATGGGAAGTCAGTTGTAACTTTAATTCAATGCATGATACTGTCATCTGTGTTGCTCTGCTAAGACTATCACATTTAACTGTTTAGCCCATGAGACTGCTGGCTTTGAGTAAACCATGTGACTGTTTATGGAGTACTTGATTTTATAGTTTCAGGGGGTATGGGGCTTGCCCTACCCAGGTGTTGAGGTGCAAGCAATAGCAAGCATCAAAGCACACAACTATATGCGAAGTTTGTAGAATAGGCAGTATACTGATACATGTTAAAAACTGACCTTTGCAGGTGAATATCTCACAAAGGGTCAACAATTCTGTGGGTGATGCAAAAGCCCTCATTCAGAGCTTGAATCTTACTTGTTGCTGTACATATTGGCTCATGTCCTGTTAACAGAAAAGTACATTTTCAGTGCTAATTACTAATTGATAGAAAGATGGATATAAAAATAAATTTGATATATTACTCCAGATACAAATTTAGGTGTCCAAAGTTCTACTATTTACAGTAAGATCCTCAACATTAATACAGGGGAAAACCATTTATACATTTCACATTGGTTTCAGCAGTGAAATATTTTCTTTGTTTACAAAAATTCATTATGAATTTTTCTCTTATATGTGGATTTCTTTCTAATAAATATATTACATTATTCTTTTAGAAATTATACTGAAAATTTGTAGAACATATTCTTTGTTCTATTCTTGCATCCCTCTTCACATTTTCAGAATCACATGATATAAACTTGACCTCCCCAATACTTGGATATTGCTTCTAAAAAATGGATTATTAGTACTAGATTACTTTCTAATGGATTTGAGGTAATCATAGTAGAAGGGAAGTCTACATAGAGTTGTTTTTATGTGAAATTGATATCTTCTCTTCAGTTTTATGCTGAGAAATTATAAAAGATGACATTGGATTTTCTTAAAAATGTATGCTGTTGTATCCAATTAAATGTATGAGTTTGTTATAACTCTGTCATCTTGTGATGTATGTTGACTTAAATTTTGTTGTTTGTATTTTTGGTCTGGTTCCTTGAGTATAAACAATGTACATTTAAAACAGCAGTTATGGCACTTTAACACATGCTTAGAAAATGATCTTGCTCTAAAATTCATTATCATTAAGATCTTGAAAAGCATTGCAATATGTTGCATCCCTTGTGTGAATCATAAGATGAAACATTGTTGTTTTTTAGTAATAGCATGATAATTTTTTTTTTTTTGATGACACATCACACAATATAGAGAAATTTGGAAGTTGTTTCCAGCAGAAAAATATTGTTAAAAAGAATAGGAAAAAATATCAATTTTTAATAGGTTCAAACACCATTATTTTCTAGAAATTATCATATTCAAAGACTCCTTAATTACTTGCCAATCAACAAATTTATTTCACCCAGAAGCATTTCGGAAATTACAATATTTTCCTCCTCAGCGGGTTTTCTTCCATACAAGCTAAACAAGATACAAACGCTTTTTCAATACACTAGTAAATATACAATAACTACATTAAATTTACAATTTATAATCATATATTTACTAAAACCATAAAATATTTGCCTCTCCTATTTTTCAACATTCCAACTGTTTTGATTACTTTCTTATTAAAATAATTTTTTTCCTATTTTAAAAAACATATTTTTTTTTAATTAAAAGAAATTAACCTATTACATCTTTAATTATTGTAATAACTGTGTTATTTTTGTTAAAAATATTTATTATACACAGTCCTTGCCATTATTGCTTTCATTCATTGTCTTTCACATCATTCACATGGTTGTTGTTGGAATGTTGGCAAATGATGTGAAAGACAATGAATGAAAGCAATAATGGCAAGGACTGTGTATAATAAATATTCTTAACAAAAATAACACAGTTATTACAATAATTAAAGATGTAATAGGTTAGTTTCTTTTAATTTAAAAAAAAATATGTTTTTTAAAATAGGAAAAAAACTATTTTTATAAGAAAGTAATCAAAACAGTTCAAAGGAAATTCCAAAGACTCAGGTTTGTCACTGTGAGGATTCACCTTTACAAGACTCAAAGACTTAGCAGTTAAACAGAGGCGGTGAGTGCCAGATATATTTCTACTACTTCCTAAACCTTTATTTTTCACAATTACTTGCCAAACATGTTCAAAATTAGGTTTAGGTGTTGTATCTCCTTCCAGACCAAGAGTACCATGTTGAAGTTCCAACATTGCTGTTAACTATTGATTTAATTCATCATCATTTTCAGTTACAACTGCAAAACAATCATCACGAGTATAAAGTGCAATAACATTTTTCTGTTTAGAATCTAACTTTCTATTAATGTTAAAACAGGTCTTCAATATAATGCTCCGTTTTGGTTGGATACCAGCTTTCCATTTCTTTTCATTGTCATAATATTCAAGTCTAGCAGGTCCTGTTGGAGTCTCAGTCCGAAGCACAAAATATTTCTTCTTCATAGTCTTCAATCTCTTTAAATAACCTTGCTTTTTTATATCTGACATCATTTCCTCTTTTGTAGGAATTGAAATACTACTTTTTTCCCTGAACTCCTTTTGTTTAGTTGACATGATAAAAATACATATTACAGGCCTTTAGTCTTAGACCAAAGCCATTTTTTGTTCTTATAACTTTACATGATTGCAAATATGCCACTGTTGAAAAATTCTTGCTCCTCCGAAGTAGTTAAGCCTAACAATTGAGTCGAAAATTAAATATTATTCTCGATCAAAATGTAAAATAACTTTCATTACCATTCACATCATGTCTCTAATGACAAGTATAATTTCGTAAAGCCTCAATGTTGTAACCAAAATTTTGAGAAAAGCCTACGTCTTCATCCAAAGATCAAAGGTTTCTTTTACCCGTGACCTCGACAACGCATGTTTACTCCTGTTTCAAGGGGGGCGTGTCTACAGATTGGTGTGATAAACCCTTAAAAATAAAAATGATTAAACTATATTTTATCAATTTATAAAATCATAAGAATAAGAGTAAAAAGTTTTAAAAATTAAATATTTTAATCAATTGCCTAGATATTCCTATATAAGTTCTTTAAAGCAAACTTGTGTTTGATTTAAACAACTTTAAACAAAACAGTAAGGTATTAAAATCCCAATTGTTTTAGGTAATACTATTATACCTAGAAGTACAAAAATAGTAGATTTAATATTTTATACACAAATACTATTCAAATATGCATATAAACAAAGCATAATTTACTTTTTAACTTATTTTTCCAGTGTATTCCATAATACAAAATGACTGAAGAAACTGAAGATATTTTAACCTTTAAATTGAGTGAAATGGATATAAAATTTTCAAATGACAATGATCCAAAAGGTGCATTACCAGTAAGGTGCTGGGGACGTGGATGGAAACGTCCAGACATTAAAGACTTAGATTTTTCAGGATTTTTTCAGAAATTTGATAAAGAGAATTTTGTAAGTATCTATATTTTACTTCTAACAGACAAAAATTTGATATTTTAATTATTAGAATTTTGTACAAATACATTTTGCTTGCAGTCATAGAAATTATAATGAACTGTATGTATAAGAAAATCCACAATGCATAAGTTTTCAGTGTTCTTTTCTATTAATGGGAAGTCAGTTGTAACTTTAATTCAATGCATGATACTGTCATCTGTGTTGCTCTGCTAAGACTATCACATTTAACTATTTAGCCCATGAGACTGCTGGCTTTGAGTAAACCATGTGACTGTTTATGGAGTACTTGATTTTATAGTTTCAGGGGGTATGGGGCTTGCCCTACCCAGGTGTTGAGGTGCAAGCAATAGCAAGCATCAAAGCACACAACTATATGCGAAGTTTGTAGAATAGGCAGTATACTGATACATGTTAAAAACTGACCTTTGCAGGTGAATATCTCACAAAGGGTCAACAATTCTGTGGGTGATGCAAAAGCCCTCATTCAGAGCTTGAATCTTACTTGTTGCTGTACATATTGGCTCATGTCCTGTTAACAGAAAAGTACATTTTCAGTGCTAATTACTAATTGATAGAAAGATGGATATAAAAATAAATTTGATATATTACTCCAGATACAAATTTAGGTGTCCAAAGTTCTACTATTTACAGTAAGATCCTCAACATTAATACAGGGGAAAACCATTTATACATTTCACATTGGTTTCAGCAGTGAAATATTTTCTTTGTTTACAAAAATTCATTATGAATTTTTCTCTTATATGTGGATTTCTTTCTAATAAATATATTACATTATTCTTTTAGAAATTATACTGAAAATTTGTAGAACATATTCTTTGTTCTATTCTTGCATCCCTCTTCACATTTTCAGAATCACATGATATAAACTTGACCTCCCCAATACTTGGATATTGCTTCTAAAAAATGGATTATTAGTACTAGATTACTTTCTAATGGATTTGAGGTAATCATAGTAGAAGGGAAGTCTACATAGAGTTGTTTTTATGTGAAATTGATATCTTCTCTTCAGTTTTATGCTGAGAAATTATAAAAGATGACATTGGATTTTCTTAAAAATGTATGCTGTTGTATCCAATTAAATGTATGAGTTTGTTATAACTCTGTCATCTTGTGATGTATGTTGACTTAAATTTTGTTGTTTGTATTTTTGGTCTGGTTCCTTGAGTATAAACAATGTACATTTAAAACAGCAGTTATGGCACTTTAACACATGCTTAGAAAATGATCTTGCTCTAAAATTCATTATCATTAAGATCTTGAAAAGCATTGCAATATGTTGCATCCCTTGTGTGAATCATAAGATGAAACATTGTTGTTTTTTAGTAATAGCATGATAATTTTTTTTTTTTTGATGACACATCACACAATATAGAGAAATTTGGAAGTTGTTTCCAGCAGAAAAATATTGTTAAAAAGAATAGGAAAAAATATCAATTTTTAATAGGTTCAAACACCATTATTTTCTAGAAATTATCATATTCAAAGACTCCTTAATTACTTGCCAATCAACAAATTTATTTCACCCAGAAGCATTTCGGAAATTACAATATTTTCCTCCTCAGCGGGTTTTCTTCCATACAAGCTAAACAAGATACAAACGCTTTTTCAATACACTAGTAAATATACAATAACTACATTAAATTTACAATTTATAATCATATATTTACTAAAACCATAAAATATTTGCCTCTCCTATTTTTCAACATTCCAACTGTTTTGATTACTTTCTTATTAAAATAATTTTTTTCCTATTTTAAAAAACATATTTTTTTTTAATTAAAAGAAATTAACCTATTACATCTTTAATTATTGTAATAACTGTGTTATTTTTGTTAAAAATATTTATTATACACAGTCCTTGCCATTATTGCTTTCATTCATTGTCTTTCACATCATTCACATGGTTGTTGTTGGAATGTTGGCAAATGATGTGAAAGACAATGAATGAAAGCAATAATGGCAAGGACTGTGTATAATAAATATTCTTAACAAAAATAACACAGTTATTACAATAATTAAAGATGTAATAGGTTAGTTTCTTTTAATTTAAAAAAAAATATGTTTTTTAAAATAGGAAAAAAACTATTTTTATAAGAAAGTAATCAAAACAGTTCAAAGGAAATTCCAAAGACTCAGGTTTGTCACTGTGAGGATTCACCTTTACAAGACTCAAAGACTTAGCAGTTAAACAGAGGCGGTGAGTGCCAGATATATTTCTACTACTTCCTAAACCTTTATTTTTCACAATTACTTGCCAAACATGTTCAAAATTAGGTTTAGGTGTTGTATCTCCTTCCAGACCAAGAGTACCATGTTGAAGTTCCAACATTGCTGTTAACTATTGATTTAATTCATCATCATTTTCAGTTACAACTGCAAAACAATCATCACGAGTATAAAGTGCAATAACATTTTTCTGTTTAGAATCTAACTTTCTATTAATGTTAAAACAGGTCTTCAATATAATGCTCCGTTTTGGTTGGATACCAGCTTTCCATTTCTTTTCATTGTCATAATATTCAAGTCTAGCAGGTCCTGTTGGAGTCTCAGTCCGAAGCACAAAATATTTCTTCTTCATAGTCTTCAATCTCTTTAAATAACCTTGCTTTTTTATATCTGACATCATTTCCTCTTTTGTAGGAATTGAAATACTACTTTTTTCCCTGAACTCCTTTTGTTTAGTTGACATGATAAAAATACATATTACAGGCCTTTAGTCTTAGACCAAAGCCATTTTTTGTTCTTATAACTTTACATGATTGCAAATATGCCACTGTTGAAAAATTCTTGCTCCTCCGAAGTAGTTAAGCCTAACAATTGAGTCGAAAATTAAATATTATTCTCGATCAAAATGTAAAATAACTTTCATTACCATTCACATCATGTCTCTAATGACAAGTATAATTTCGTAAAGCCTCAATGTTGTAACCAAAATTTTGAGAAAAGCCTACGTCTTCATCCAAAGATCAAAGGTTTCTTTTACCCGTGACCTCGACAACGCATGTTTACTCCTGTTTCAAGGGGGGCGTGTCTAGCCTGCGGAGGTGTTGGTGACTTTTTTTGCTGAGCTGTTGTGTCGACGTTAGACATGGAATTTTTACAACAGAATATTAAGTGTAGAACTGAAATAAGTAGTTTAAATGTTTCATTAACCCGAATAGTAATTTTTATTTTACTAATGATTGCCGGCATTGAGTTAAATCCCGGACCTTTTCCTCGATCTCCTCCAATATCAAGTCAAGCAGTTATGNAAAAAAAAATGGCTGGCTTTAAACACCTCGCTTTCCTGGATAGTTCCTGCTTGATTTTTCATGAGATCAGCATGTATCTTTTTAGCTTTCTCGCAAATAATTGCTTCTGATACGCTGTCTCTAGCACACTGTTTTCCAGTTACCCAAAGCAAAAACAATTTCTCAACATAATCTAATGTCTTCGATCTCTGTTTAGAAATTGATTTAACCCCTTTCGAAATGTTAGAAGATTTAATAATGTCTTTATTTTTCACAACTGTCGATATCATTGTTCTCGGAATACGGTATGCAACAGTTAAATCTCGAACACGCATGCCACCTTCGTATTTCTCAATAATCTCTTTTTTCAGTTCCATTGTGATTCTAGTCATTTTTTTTAGTTTTCTGTTGCTTTTCATTTGCCTTTTTGCAATTCATGATTAATAAAAATAATAAAATTTTATTTACAAATTAAAATCAGAAGAAATTTAACAAAGTAATAAACCATGGCGCCGCAAATAACTAGTCTGTTCTAATACACTGATAGTGCTACTTGTTCATAGATGGGCGTGTATAATTGAATTAAGTTGTATACTGAGCAAAGTTTGTTTCATCCAAACAGGATGTATTTCGTATTGGACGTATTCTAAAGCAGACATATACTGAGGTACCACTGTATATGATTATAAATTGTAAATTTAATGTAGTTATTGTATATTTACTAGCGTATTGAAAAAGTGTTTGTACCTTGTTTAGCTTGTATGGAAGAAAACCCACTGAGGAGGAAAATACAGTAGAGCATCGATTATCCAATCCCCCAATCAATCATCACATCGGTTAACCGACTGCGTTCTAGTCAGCAAATTCAAATGTCTGCTAGTGATGTGGCGCTACAATATTTGGCTATATCTTGGCTACTTTAATATTATTTTTGTTAAATTTTGTGTGTTTTAGCTGGCAACATTGTCTCGAGCATGAAAAGGAGGCCACTATTTAAACAAGGCTTAATTTTTTAATTTTTAATGATACAATAGTGACGATTATTATTAAAAAATTTTTTTGTTAGGCTTAACATCGATGAAAATTCAACACGAAGTACATTAATAGCGATATACTAATATACTATGCTAATAATGTATTTTTTCATACTTTTCGGTTATCCGTTTTTTCAGTTATCCGACCAACCCCAGTCCCAATTGAGTCGGATAATCGATGCTCTACTGTAATTTCCAAAATGCTTCTGGGTGAAATAAAATTGTTGATTGGCAAGTAATTATGGAGTCTGTTGATGTGGTAATTCCTAGAAAATAATGGTATTTGAACCAGTTACATATTGAGATTAAAGAAATGGAATAGAAGCAGAGTATATAAATAATAACAAATAAATTGTCCTTCTCAAACCATGAAATCTCCTCATTTGGGAATGATAATCAGGAAATCCCAATCTTAAAATTAAACCAAACAAAGCAAGAGAGATTGAAACCTAAGAAATGAAATAAATAAAAATAACAATACTATAAAATTAAAAATCTGTAGAGAAGATTTAGCTGAGACACTTGTCAGTCACAAATTTATAATAGTTTTTTATTATAAAAACTTTTTATTTTGATAATTTATATATGTAAAATATAGTATTTCTTTAAAAAATTTATTTTTTTTTAGCTTGCATATAAAATGGGTAGTTCTAAATCTTCAAGACTATTCACTTCAAAACCTATGAGTGATGGCATTATGGAAAACATAAAATCTCAGTGTGAAAATGTTCTTGGAAATCAAATATCAGATCAAGAAATTATTAATGTTTTGTCAAAAATGAATGTAGGAGGAGATGATGAAGACAAAAATCCATCTGTATCAAGTGAGCAGAATAGAAGTTCTTATGTAAACTGTCATTTTACAGAAAAAAAACATTCAGTAAGCAGCAAGCTCAACTCCAAAAGATCTGAAAACATTCTAAATAATTGTACTAAACCTCAAGAAGGTTTTAAAATTAAAAAAAAAAGGAAAAAATATGCATCTAAACATAATAATACTTCTGAAGTTTGTATGTCATCAAATTATGGATCTGAATCTTCCTTAAGTCTTAAGAATGCTGATGATGAATATGATAATTTGGATGAGAAAACAGATACCTCATCCTACAAAGAAAGAGACAGTAAAAATTATTCCATTTCTGTATGTGAGGAATTGAGGGAGAAGAATTGTATCATTTTAGAAAACATTCCTTCTCAAGTAAATGAAGATGAATTACATGAATTTTTAAATGGATTTGGAATAATAAAAAACATGAAAATAATAAAAAATGAAACTAATGCATATGCAAATATCAGGTGAGTGTTTTAAAAATTTTTATTGTTAATTGATTGATTTAAGCAACTAAAAAATTTATTAACTAAATATTAATTTAGAAATTTATATATTAGCTAGCTTGTTACACCTGGCTTCACCTAAGTTTATAAAGCACTGTACTTGTTGCAGTAATTGTTACACTTGGCATTATTAATCATAAATTTCAAAAAATTATCTGGTATTACCCATTTTAAGAACAATATCAGAATGTCTATAAACTATAAGTATGTCCTCATAAATAGCAAGATTATAGAAAACTTATTAGAATTGGTTTGGTTTATTTGGTTATGGCAACATGACACTTGGGTGATTTGCTGAGGGGATGCCTCCTGAGAGGACTTTTATAGGAAACTGGTCCTATTTAAGTGTTAATAACATGAATCAAACCCTGAAAACTCCATTTGGTTAGCCCATTCGCAATGTGCAAACTCATGATCAGTTACCAGTGTTTGGTGGTTTTATCCATTTTGCCACCAGTGAGCACTTATTACAACTCCTAGACAAGAAATTAGAATATTTACCTAACTGAAAGTGTAGTGTACATTTTCTCATGAACAACACAGAGTACGAAACTTTTTTCGACACTACGTAAACACTGTTTATCTATATTTATTATATCCGTTAATCAGAAATTAACTCAAATGTTTTTTGTTACAAATGGAAATAAAATGACAAAAAATTAGAATATTAGCAAGACAAACAGCCATAAAAAAACTAAATTGTAATGCAAATTTACATATTGCTGAGCAGGGCAGTATAACAGTACAACATAGGGCATAAGCACAACATCAGTGACAGAACTAAAGATACTATCATAGCCGTGCACAAAGTAGGAAGAACACAAAAAGAAATTATGAAATTTGTAAAGTGCTCCCAGCCAACAATCTTTAGAGTACTGAAACAACGAAACAGTGTTCAAGTTTTAACTAACAAATGCCAGAAAGGTTGGCATAAACGAGCAAAGACTGTGAAGGATAAGAGAAACTTGAGAAGGATTGTTGTGTAAAATTGCTTTAAAAGCATTAAACACTTGCATGCACAATGGAGAGCAACTGGAGTGAATGTTAGTAGTCAAACCACATGCTGAAGATTGCACAACTTGCACTTCAACTGCCATGTTCCCAAGATGAAGCCACCTCTAATGAAAAAACAATGACAAACATGTGTCAGATGATGCAGAGAGAGGCTCATGGGGGACAAGATGACTAGAATAACATTCTCTTCAGTGATGAATCTTTGTTTTGTCTTTCCTGTAGTGACCAAGGCCCAAGTGTATGGAGGAGAACCAAAGGGACCTTTGAAAAGGACTGTATGAAGATATCCACAAAGTTTGTATCGTCTGTCATGATCTGGGAATGAATGAGTGCTAATGACGTAGGACAGGGGTCAGCAGGAGTGGATCACGAGCTGCATGTGGCTCTTCAGATATAAACTCCAATTTCACCTCATCTCAAGCAACCTTATGAGTTTATGAGATAGAGCCGCTGAACAAACTTCGACTCTTACAGCATACTCTCTACCACTCTTTAGCCTGTCCGCCAATGACCACACTCGCATTGATCAATATGAGTCGCATGCAAGTGGTAGCATTTGAAATATATCTATATATATAACACATTGAATGCATATCCGTCCGTCCGTGTAATGTTATGCTGTTATTTTTTTCCCCCCTAAAAATTCATATTCTATACATATACATATGTATATTACATATATGCGGCTCTCTGGTACTTTTGTTATCCAGTTTCCATGACAATTTGGCTCTTCTCACTTGACAAACTACCAACCCCTGGCATAGGACAACTGTGCATTCTTTGGGAATGTGTCAATGCACAGACATATCAAGACATCTTAAAAGACATTTATGATACCATTGGCAGAAGATTTAGTTGAGAAAACATATTTCAATAAAATGGGGCACTCTCATACCATGAAGTCAACGATAAATTGATTACAAGAATGACAGATTGCAATCCTGTCTTGACCAAGCAATTCCCTAGACTTAATTCTCATTGAAAATTTGTGGGGAGTCATGAAATGATGACTTAATGAATGGTGCCCAATTCTAAAGAGGAACTAGTGAGGTGCATTCGACACATTTAAAATTGCATCACCAGAAATGAATGTGAAGTATTAATCCACAACATGCCCGACAGATTACAAGCAGTAATTATGACAAATGACGATGCGACAAAATATTAAGTTTATTTTAGCTATAAAATATTAGCTAAATATGGGTTAAATATAGGAAATACAATAACCCACATTTAGCTAATACAGTGGAATACAGTGGGTGATCAGTTAATGAACATAATCCATTCCAAGACCATATTCACTATCTGAATAATCATTAACCGATTATTGATTTACCATAGATTTTTGTGGGAATTTGATTAATTTGTTTTGGAGATCCACAAAAATAAATAAAAAATTATATACTTTCTTACTATGTTTATTTACATGTAATAACAAACCAAAAGCAATCTCTCCATTTTTTTTATGGATGGCACATCTTTGTTTCTCAGATGCGATTTTCATTACTCCTTTATCTCAGCTCGAGTCTTTTTGATTATATCTTTCTTAGCTAAGATTTATCTACTGTAGATCTGTTGAAGTCATCTGCCTACAATTTCAAACATCTTCTGCCCACTCTTTACTTTGGCTGTTATCTCTTGCTTAGTTTCTATAGTGAGTACTCCACTCTTTTTAGGCACCATAATAATATCAGTTTTTTAAATAAAATGTTCAGAAAAGCACTTACAAAAATTCAGAGAACAGAAATTAATCAGTGCAAAAAAAGGTTATGTATATACAACTGTGAAAATCTTGTTTCATAAACCATGTATAGATGCCATTAAAATACAGTTTTACAAATCTTAAATGCAGTGTTGCTTCTTGTGTTTGTTCTGTGAGGTGTTTGCTATCTGAACATAAAAATCTTTTGTGAAAGTGTTTGTTGTCCGATTTGTTTGCAGTCTAAACTTTTTGTTAACTGATCATCCACTGTTTTTTTGTCATTTCATTTCCATTTGTAACAAAAAAAATGTTTGAGTTAATTTGTATGATTAATGGATATAATAAATATACAAAAACGCTGTTTATGTAGTGTCGAAAAAAGTTTTGTATTCTGTGTTGCTTGTGAGAAAATGTACACTAAACTTTCAGTTAGGTGGATATTCTAATTTTTTGTCTAGGAGTTATAGAATTAAGAAAGCACCATTCAGAAATGAAAAAACCTGAGTTGTTAGATGTGGAAAATTAATCACTTATATAGTTTTCACAGTGTAACATTTTCGACTCCATGCAGGTATGATATCTGCAACCCATCAAAGTAATGATATAGCATGTCTACTTCACACTATATCATTATATCATTGTTGCAGTAATTAAGTGAATATATTTATTATTTTAAAAATTTTTTTCAATAGGTGGTACTACATGTAAAGCCAACAAATCAAATGTAAACAGAAATTAATTGATATACAGAAATACAATCAATATTTTGGGGTGGGATGTACAGTACAACATTATCTAAGTTAGAAGTATGTGAATGTAACTGCTAAGATTTGTAACAATTGGTCAAACGGCCTAGGTATGCATAGCGAACAAACAAACAAAAACAAACACTCTTATTTATGTATACAGATTTAATCTGTTAACAGTAGAAAAAAATAAAACTATTATGGAAACATGTGAATATGAATCTAATGTATATTTATGAGGTAGCATTCACAATTGAAATTCTCATTTTCTGGATCATTGAAGGAATAAGAATAGTTTAAATCAATTACCATTATCTACTCATTCAGAAAAATCATAAATTCACCAAGAAGTCAACTTATTTTTACAAAAATTAAGTGAATACAATATGACAACCTATATATAAGTCATACCAGAAATAGAATTTCATTCATTTCTTCCATAAATTATTCTGCCACTAGTAACCAGAGATCAGCTTTACGAACAAACTTATCAAACTTAAAAAAATTTCTGGTTCAATTTTTGTTTTTAAAACTTCTATTTTGGGCAAAATTTAAATTAATTAAATAATGAATTAAATATAAATGTTTTGGCTCAATTACACAGTTCCCAGATAGTGCAGTTAGCTGAATTATCAATTGATGCAAGGAGCATGAGTTATTTTATTTTCTCAAATAAAAACAAAATCTTATCCCTTAATAAATCGATTTATTTTTAGAAAATTTAAGTAAAAATGACATTTTAATTTAAGAACTAGCTGATATTAATAACACTCGTAAGTATGTGGAAAAGTGGGGTTCCACAATCTTTTGACCATGTAACTATGGGAACTTGAATAATGAATATTCATTAAACAAGGACCCCCTATATCTTCATCTATAAGACAGAATGGAATATATTACTTTCCTATCTGTTATATATAACAGAGAGAAAGTATAGCAATTGGTCAAAAAATGATTTTCTCAAGATTTACATTTTTAGACTTAGGGCCTTGAAACATTTTGAAATGCAAAAAAGTTTGGAAATTTTTTTCCATATGTTTTGATGTTACTGTGGGGGGACATGATTTTGTTCTGTAAGGAACCAAGTCCAAGCATTATTTTTAGTTAGTTTTTATTTTGCTTTTTATTCTATTTTTGTTTGGGGCTTATGTTTTGTTAGGACGAAGGTTTCCTCATCACTCATCACCTTAGAAACTTAAAAACAGAAGAAAGAAAAAACCCAACTCACCAACGAGAAAAAGCGCCATGGGAAAAAACTCTCACACACTTGCACTCCCGAGCAGAAAAATGTAAGTCCGCACTGAAAAGAGGAGGGGAGACCCACAAGCACAATTAAGGAACTTGCTAAACCTTAAAGAGTAAAACATCCCAAAAATTGTCAAAAAGAATAATGTAAAAGGTTAGCGAGTATTGTCAGGAAATAGGTTGCCAGGCAAAAAGGAAAAGTTCAATGTTACAGAGAAGTATGTAAATGAGGGAAGTGGTCTCAATCAGAAATGTGTCGTCACCACAAAATATAAAGCCGTACCTCAAGCAAAGATGACCAAAGTGAGCTTCTGTTAGCAATGAGCATGGTGAGCTTTGTAGCAGCAACAAGAGAGGTGTCCAATAGCAATAAAGTTGTTTCAAGGCATTTGAAGTTATTTGCTTTGTGGATCAAAGATTGGAGAAAATCTTGAGAGTTGAGGAAAAAGGTTCCTAGTATATTGAGGTGATGGTTAGGACCTTAGTTCGTAAGACTTGTTGTACATAGGTTAAGTCTTTGAATTTTTTGTCAAATTCCAATGGAAATAGATTTAAATTAGCAAATAGATTGATTTGAGTTTTGTCGGGTTGATTATTATTGTTGATTTTCTTTGAATAAATTGCTCTTTGATTGTTACTAACTTTGTACATAGTCATTATTAGAATTGTTATTAAATATTGGATTGTTTTTTTTTTACTAATTTTGTAATTATTTCTTTCGGTGCACGCTTAAAGTCCAGGCCTGATACATTAACGTGAATCTGCGTAAAGTACCTGTTAGGTAACAGCTATTTCCAGCACACAGTTTGTGTCGATAATCGTTGTAAAAGGTATAAAGATAACAGTAGTACTTTACAGTTCAACCACTTTAAAACTTACCTCCTGTGTCTTTTGTTGAAAATTTCTGAAATTTTGCAGGAAAGTTTGTGTATTTGTGATTGATGCTATTAAATTTTGGCAGTTAAAGGTTATCAGGGAGATAGATAGGAGTTGGATTTAAAATTTTACTTGATATTAGTGTGAGAATTCGGATGCAAGTGTAAATTTTCACACTTTGGTATAGTTTATTTTTATCATTATTTCCTTTTTCTTTTCCCCTCTCATGACATAAAGAGTAGACCTTTTGACCCGTCAGTGTACTGCGTCACCTCAAAGGTGACTTTAATAATCCGAAGAAGGACTCCTCTCACACCAGGGGATCGTTCAATTCTAACGTAAATATGAGGTGCAGATAAGTAACCAATTAGCAACAACAAACACATGTTACTGTCTAGAGCAGGGGTGGCCAACCTTTTCAGAAGGCGGGCCAAATTTCAGAAATAATATTTCCTGCCGGGCCACGCACCTATTTTTTTTTAATTAAAGTAAACAAGCAAGCGTGTTACAGCTTCAACCACATCGTCGCTTCCCAGTAGGGGAGATTGTGGTCAAACACTTGCCTGGTTTAATGTAAAAAACACAAAAAACAGGTATATTTATTTTTTTGAAGAAAATAAAACATAACCGAGAATCAAACATATTTATTAAACAATTTAAAAATGTTTAAAAGTGAGACATCTGACTTTGTTTTACAGAACTAAGTGCATCAAAATTGATCTCCACTGATGTTGTCGCTACACGCAAACAGTTTTTCAAATGAACATCAGTAATTCGTGTTCTCACTTGTGATTTGATGTACTGTACCTGTACTTCATGCGACTAAAAAGCTGTTCACACGCATAAGTGTTTCCACATAGTGAAACCATCGACAGAGCATGTTTGTAAAACGCAGGGTATTTATCCTTGTCCAAATACGCTTCATAGAACTCTTCCAAACCAACTTGATGGAATTTCTCCAACTTTTCAGGGTTTACTTACTTATAGAATCGATTTGGAGACAGGCTACTTGGTTAAAGTAATTTGAACTGTAATTATAAATATGTTAAATATGTATTTTAACGTCGATTGCAAAATCTCTCCAGATGCATTGGCGATAATAAAACGAAACTACAGAATAACACGGAACTTTGTCAAACTGGACTGAAAGTAGTTATGAGTATGAGCCCGATAGCATTGTGAGCTTCCTGAAAACGCCGAAGACCACAGAACACATATAGCTGAAGTTGAAGTCTCATATTAAATTTTATCAACACCTAGCGTCGGACAAAAAACTAAGTAACCTTGAGTGTCAAATAGCGGAATATTTGAAATAGCTAAAAATCTATGAATTTTTCCAAAAATGAGAGATATTTCAAATTTCTCTTAGATATAATTTAATTAATTAAAAATACATGATACGAATAACTCATGACGTAATGTTCTTTTGGTGATATGTACAATAAAGTTAACATTTACGTTCATTTGACCAAGCTCCGCGGGCCGCAACATGACTCCAGGCGGGCCGCATGCGGCCCGCGGGCCTCGTGTTGGCCATCCCTGGTTTAGAGAGTAACCAAAAGGTCACCGACAAGAATAATAAGAATAAACCCTGTACTCCCCTCTAAGTCTGATCGATCCAATGAGAAAGTCAATCTAAATGACCAAATAAGGCAATGATTTTTACTAAGGTGGGGAGACATATTCTGACATGAGTCACCTCACGTCAATAAATCAGGGAGTTTGACAAATTTATGATGGGAAGATGTCAAATATTAGACGGAAAGGATGATAATAACATAAACACAGCTGTGCACAAGTTGAGCTGGCAATTGCATGATTTTCTTCCCCTGTGATTCCCCCTCCAAGGTAAGTATAAAAAGGGGTCAAACTTGCACCTGCAGGCAGACAGCTGAAGAGGACCCACCACGTAAACACCCTCAGCAGACATCTCCCTGCAGACCTCTACAGTTGGAGATCAATGGAGCGTACCCCACATCAGACCTAACTGAGCAGATATCAAGGGACACCAGCTTCATATCACCATACCGTCCGTCGCTCCATACCAATATCCAAGGGAAACTACAATTAGGAACTTTCGATCCCAGAGCGTCCTACCAACACCCTATACAACGAGATCGAATCCCATGAGGTAAACCCTAGACCGAATTTTTCTCTCTCTCCAACACGTCCTTCTTAGTGAGGTATCTTTCTCATTCTTTAGTTTAGGATAGAACGTAGTTATAGAATAGATTCCTATTATTATTATACGTGTGTCATTTCTGCCTTTGCCTTCGATATGTATAATCTCTTAGTAGTTTAATAAATGTGTTGTTTGTGTTCACCTTGTCTCACCGATAACCTGTCTACAGATTTCACGACCTCCCCACTCGAGCGGTCCTTACAGACTGTTGCTGAGTAAGTGGTCATTAGGGATTGTCCCAGTGGCCCTTGGTTTCTCACATTAGCATTTACAATATTTTATAAGACTAATCTCTCAAAATTAATTTATATAATTAAGCTTTTTCACACACAATCAAGAAGCTTTAAAGCCCAGTAACACAAAATTTTAATGAAAATGCATGTTTTCATTAAAATTTTGTTTTACTGGATGACTTTCAAGGTTCTTGATTGTGTGTGATTCATTCCAGTAATTTGATAAGAAGATAGTTTAAGTTTATTCAATAAAATATATCAGATGGTGCCACAGGCAGTTATAAATGTTGTTGCTGAGAAAGTTAACAGCTCATTGCTGGATTTTTTATAATATGCAATTATAAGAAACAATATTTTTTATACAGTGATACAAACCAGTTATTACATAAAAGTCAATAGGGTGGGACATATTACAATTTCATACAGGGATCATGCTGCCTGTCAAAATTTGCAATTTGAGAAAATTACATTCATCTGGAGATTGGAGTGGCAAATAGCCAGAGAGCAATCTGAGGGGGAGAAGATGAAAGAGTATCAAGGAATATGAATTGGTCTTGATCCAATACAATTTTACCATTAATAAACAAAAATAAAGTTGCTTGAGAAACTAAGTCATAAAAGCTCTGCAATTTTTTATATTATCTATCATCCTTTCATGTTGGTTAAAAGCCATAATAAGCAGAAAAGTAACCTGGAAAATAGGTTGGTGATTGCTATAAAAAAGCCAAGATGACCTCTGATACAATTCAAACAGGCAAACATTTTTGTACAGTGCTTGTTTCTTGTATAAATTATAACATCTGTAACAGTGATTCCAAATATGGGGATCAAGTTAACTTTTAATGAGTCACAATGTTTACAAAAGAAAAAATCTTTTCAAAATTTTTAGATTCCTAATAAAAAATTTAAATGTGCAATAAATTTTGTTGTTTTTAAATTATGTACGTAAAAGTGGTGTAATAAAAAGCATTATGGTTATATATTTTAAATTATATAATGCTTTAATTGATTACTATATTACCTCAACTAAGGAAAGTAATTTAAATCATATTATATTGTAGGATGGCTAATGAAGATGATTGCAATAATATAATTGAATGCTTGAATGAAAGTTATGCTTTTGGAAGTAAGTATATAAATTCAAAATTATTATTATTGTTTAACTTTACCTTTTTCTTGCAAAATGTAAAGTTAGTCTTTATTTTTGTTATTTCAGTTCCCTAATTTTAATTTTAAAATATTTGATACCTATAAATCTTCTGAACAGCTATATGTAATTTGCTACAAATTTATAGCTGTTCAGAAGATTTATTATAATATTGGACAAAAAGCAAATAATTATAATTTGATACTGATATTTTGAAGAAAACTATAAGGAATGGATATAGTGTGAAATTTTAGTCTTCTGTTCCTGGCTCCAGCTGGTATTGATTTAAATTTAATCATACTTCATGATCAAAAAGTCTCAGGGTAGTTCAATAAAATGCAAAATTTGAATTTATTCTCAAAGTTTATTTTGTCTCCTCCAAAGAAATTCCCTCCCACTGAAATGCACTTATGCCATTTTGAAAAATTGTTGGCACAAAAATTCTTTACACACAAAACAAGAATTTATTTGCAAACAAAAACAGATGACCTACAGATTGCTGCTAGATGTCAATGAAAATGACAGCAACTTCTTGCATGCACAATTTAAATGAATCATTCCTGATACTTTTTGATCACAGTAGTATGATTAAAACTTAATTATAAGTTAATATGATTAATCAACAGTTCTAATTCTATCATTCATTTAGTTTTTTGCACACAGATTTGTGAATATTTTTGAAATGCATTTGATGCTAAAATATTTAATATAACTTTGTTTTTCATTTATTACAGAAATGAAACTTTATCTAATGATATGCCTTAAATTTAATAGAAGATAATACCTTTAATACATTTAATTGTATATAAGTTAATTAAATAGTAGCTGCTAAATTATTATAATCATCAATTACAAATTAAAAACTTAAAAAAAATCAAAACTATAAAATTTTTAAGTTTAGTTACTAGTAATTCTTAACATATTGTTCAGAAAAATAACTGATTAAATGCAAATGCTTTTGTGTGACGTCCAAGAAAGATTTAGTTCAATGTTTTTAATTATTTTATTAATAAAGTATCATCTCTGTAAATGATGATTATTTCTTAATATTTATGTGAAGAAAAAATTAAAAAGTTTTATTGGCTTATTTCCTTTTTATTTAAGGTAATATATTCATATTTTTTAATATCAATGTAATTTTTCTTTTTGCTATAATGATAAATATTTTTTTTTCAGCTGCATCATTACCAATAAAAGTTTATTTTCAATAAAAATAAAAGCAAAAACAATTGTAAATCTGAAAATGAAATTAACTTGTACAGATCTTTGTATGAAATGTAATACTACAATTGGCAAAAATCTCTACTATCAGTCAGTTGGCAATATGTGGAAAAATGAAATTGCTAAGAAGAACAAAGAAGTAATTAAATTTCAGCCGATTTAAATAAGGTCTGTTTTTTAATAAGAAGAAAAATACTGTAAATATCATTAAAATATATTTTTTCACATATTCTACATACTTTTATCTACTTTTCTACATAACATCCATTTTTGTTCAAACAATTGTCATTCCGCTCAAAAATTTTTAAAATTCCGACTTCAGAGAAATCTGCTGCCTGCCACCAGATGACATTAGGCCACGCCGCTTGTCTTGTATGGCACGACGGAATTTTCTCAAGGTCACAATAAGCATCAGAATTGATTGTTGTGCCTCTTGGCATAAAATCCACTAACAAAGTCCCTTTCCTGTCTCAAAAGACAGTTACTATGATCTTTCGTGCTGAAATCGAATAACAGATTGTATCTTACAGTTGGCGGGTGACTCAATTTTCTTAAACATTATAAACTTCTATAGCTCAGCACACAGACAGACGATACGGCTGCAAATTGCATATAAACACCCGCAAAGCATGCTGAAAGCAGATGCTCATGCACACTGCTGCAGTCGTGCATCATTCTCACTCTCATTCACAAACAGATCTTATTTAAAAAATAGCCCTCGTACATTTTCTCAACTAATATCATACTGTCTCTTTCTATTCTTATGAATATTTGTAAGGGTGATAAAAATGGAAATTGTTAAAACAATGTAAAATAATATTATTATTTATATGTTTTATTTGATGGAAATTGTTAATGAAAAGTAAACTTTTGTATGAATGTACTGAAAATTTACAATTTAGCTCAAGGTAAATTCACATTCATTTTAATAGCTAAGATGCTGCTATTTTATATATGTAATCAAATTATATTATATTATATATTTTTTAAAAATGCTTAAATTTCATTACTTTTGAAATGAAGACTATGATTTTATACTGATTTTTCTAATAATAGAATATTCTGGTTGTTTTAATGTTAATTATTATATCAGTGATAGACAAAAGTATTGGCACACAGCCACTTCTTAAATTTTCTTGTATAACTTTAATAGTAAACTACTTGTAGCTCTGAAATTTTCACATAATAATTAGCTGTTACTCATTACGTAATAACACTAAATAAAAATATTATGTAAGCAGAGTTTAAAATCTGCTACTCATTAGCACCCCTCCCCCTTAACTCCACATCTTCGATTGTCAAGAATTCGGAGAACTGAGGGAGTCACAAAGGGGAAGAAATCGCTTGGTCAGGGGATGGAAGAGAGTAAGGTCCCCACCTTTCAGACTGGACATCTGTGGAACGGATGTTAAATTCATCTGTGCTTGATCACCTTTCCTTTTAGTTCAATTATTGTAGTCTTAACATTTGTAATATTACAAATTGGTGAAGTTGACAAGATTTCAGTACACAGCTGTATTTATATAGTTTTGAAGTAGAATCATGCTTTTCAAATTCTTGGTTCAGAAGATCAAAGACTTTTACATTATCTCCTGATATCAACTAGAAGGGGAAGACAAATGGACAGAAGTCGACCAAGAATTTCAAGGAATCGAAAATCGTCCCGCAATTTTGTCCTCGGTTTTTCAAACTGCTATCTGGACGATGATGAATTATTGGACACTATCTATTTCATTATCGGAGACAGAAGGTGAGCTTTATCTTAATAAAACTTTAATAAGACCTGCTGCTTTGGACAGTTTGTGTGACCCAAAGTCGGATGTGTTGGTGCAAATGGTTCAGTTGCAAAAGCTGTACATGAACCAATAAGCCTGCAAAAGCTGTACATGAACCAATAAGTTGAAGATTATGAACTCTTTTCAGCAAACCATCAAAAAAATATCACTAAACTCATCTTGTGATACAATCAACATAAAAAATAATATGATGGAAAACTGGAGGAAGTGCGTATTTGGATAATTTCATACAAACACGTGTGCATCTCACAATTGGATTACAAGCAAAAGATCTATAACCTTCAAAATTATCTGGAAGGTATTGCCATAAAATGATACAATTCTCGAGTATTAGATAGGGTCAGTGATAATTGGGAGGAATGGAAAACTCCTTTCTTAGTGCATTCAGACAGAATCGGATCCAACTGTCCATAGTAGCGGATATGTGGGAATATTGTGGTGGTTCACTATTAGAATATTATTTTTAAAAACAATGGCGTATCCAACTTGCATATCCAGATATTGGGGAACAAAGCTTTATCACCATGGTAATGTGTGGACTACCTGAAGATATGCAAGCTATTCTTCTACAACACAATTTGAATGCAAAGAAAACTTATATGTCGGATTGAGCAAATTGGTACCTACCAAAAAATCGGTACTGAGGAAAATTGAAAGAAGGGATAATAATATTCATGGTAACTGAAGTTTCACCTCTTTGAATGAAATTGATAATGGTCTCCCTTCCGTTAGTAACTATTTGGAGAATCTGGAAAATAGGGAAGATGCGTAAAACGAGTAAGGAAGGGTTTACCGATCCCTCTGACAAAATCGAATCATTGTTTAGTCATGGATCATAATGATCCCCAAGTTTTCTCAATGGAAGTGAATAACATGCATTGCTTGGCTTTTCTAGATCCAGAATCCACAGTCAACCTAATTAGTCCTAAACTAGTAGATAAATGCAAACTAAAATCCCATTCGATACATAGTCTTAAAATCATTTAATGGAGCACTTACTGTATATAAAGGTGTTTTGGCCACTATAAAGTTTAGAGACTGAACCCAACACATAGTTCATTTCCTTAACAATAATTGCTTCTATGATCTTTTGCTAGGGATTCACACATTGGGAAAACTTAATATCTGTTGGAATTTTGGTAAGCAGGAAGTTTTATTAGTTAAAACAGACAAAATTATAAAGAAGACATTTTGCAGCATTTTCTGGGCATTGATCAACCTGAATATACCAGACCCCCTAAGTTCACTGTCAATTTTAATATAACAGATATGAAGGTGCTTAAATGTAAACCCTATCAGTTGTCTAATGACAAATATCAGTGGTTAAGGATCAAAATAAAAGACCTGTTAGCATAAGACATAATAGAAGAAACATCATCTCCTTATGCTTCTTGTGTTGTTCTTCCCAAAGGGAATGGTGATTACAGATTGACTCACAACTATATGAAAATCAATGAAGTGACTGAATTGGATCCTTATCCCTTTCCTTTAATAGATGATCATCAAATGTCATGGCATGCCACTACTGGTTACAGAGTGAGAGTAGCCAGAAGAAAGCCATATATAAGTAAATTTAAAATTAATCAAAAGAAGAGACTTGCTTCTGCAAAAGATCATATAAGTAAACAATTTGTTTTGGTCTAAAGTGTTGTTTTCAGATGAAAGTAAATTCACTTTAATTCATAAAAATGGAAAAAATTTACTTTGGAGAAAACCCACACAAAGCTATTAGAAAAGAATGTTCAAGCCACAGTAAAAAAGGGTGTTTTAGTGTGATGGTATGAGGTTCCATGTCAGCTACTGATATGGGAAAACTTGTATTCATAGACAGTATAATAGATAAAATGATGTATTTAAATATTCTCAAGGGAAATCTTTAGTAAAGTGTAAATAAACTAAATTTGGGCGATGGCTTTTACTTTCAGCAGGACAATCACTTGTATTGTCCCTCAATGACTACTTTATCATACACCTCACACTCTGAAACATTCCCCACAATCTCCAGATTTGAATCCTATCAAACATTTATGGAAAAGACTTGATGATAGAATGAGAAAATAAGAGATATTAAACATATTAAACTTAGATCATTTCAAAGACTTCTCCTTGAATAATGGGAAAACATTTCCTTTGAAATCACACAAAAACTAGTGCATGCAATGCCAGAGAGACTAAAGAGCTATTAATAAGAACCAGGGATTCACTACAAAATATAAATTGTAATATACTTTTAGCATTATCTTCAGCGGTGCCAATAATACTTTTGTCCTTTATTTTGATGAGTAAGAAACTTTGTTAATTTTTTAAGAGCATATCATTATGTAATTTTAGTTTAAAATTTTGTAATGTATGTCCATTTTGTTACTGGATGTAAAGGTTCTTTAATGGTTGTCATTACTACCAGTGATTGAAGACATCTTTATTTTGTAATATACTTCATATTATTCTTAACTATAATTATTCTTAATTACTTTATTCTAACTATATTTCACTATAAATTCAAAAATACCGAGTGTGCCAATACTTTTGTTTACCACTGTATAAAAATGTCTTTTTGTACAAAAATCAATTAACGTAATTATCAGATAATATACTTGAATGCATTAAAATATTATTGATGTAGCTATTTCATTTATTATTTTACATCAGTTATTTCAAAGTTTTTAATAGAAGATAAAGTAGAAAAGATTGTATATACATACACATATGATGTGATGATAAAGTTCAGTGAACGGAAATGTTAAGGTGAGTGATTTCTGAAAATGAAACTACATGCAGAGTACAGCTTAGACATTGTGCTAGCAAATCAGGACTTGTTTTTGACTGGTTGAAATTTGTAGCTTGTGCATGTACTTGATTATATGAGCTGTGTATGTAATGGTTGTCATTAGCAAGAAATAGAGCAATAAATTAACATCAGGTTCTGCTTTAAGTTGGATAAAACTGCATCAGAAACTCATGACATGCTGAAAACTATTTATGGAGATCGAGCAGTGACAAGTGTGTTCATGATTGGTTCAAACATTTTTATGATGGAAAGTAGGGTATTGAATGTACTAGTTTTGTGTGATTTCAGAGGAAATGTTTTCCATTATTCAAGGAGAAGTCTTTGAAATGATCTAAGTTCAATATCTCTTATTTTCTTACTCTAAATAAATCTCTTGAAGAAGCTTCCCTTAGTCGATGGCCCACAACCTCCAAGCCATCCAATAATGTGGAAAGAGTTTGTGATCTGATATTGCAGGATTGACAACTGAGTGTTCAGATGATGTCTGAAGAACTAGGTATAAACCTTGAAACAATCCATCAGATATTGACAGTAGACTTAGGAAAGTGCAAGATCTGTTCCAGGTTTGTGCCCTATACACTCACAGCAGAACAAAAGCAGGAAGGACTTGATGTGTGTGACAATGACTCTGCATCTTTGGGGCCAATAATAACAGAATGAGACCCGGTGCTTTAACATGACCCAGCAAAAAGACAAAGCATGGAATGGAGAGGTGTTAGATCTCTAATGTCTCAAAATGCCAGTTTGCAAAAATCAAAGATAAAAACTTTGCTCATTGCCTTTTTTTATAAAGATGGCTTGATCCACAAGGAATTCGTCCCAGAAGGGCAAATTGTGAATGGCAAACTACAGGGAAGTTCTCAACCAATTGCTGCTTTGTATTAAATGTGTGTGGTCTCATACAGCTGAAGTAGTTTGTAGCTACATGGAATTGTTGAGCTGAACCAACTGCATTATTCACCCGATTAGCTCCAGCTGACTTTTTTTTTGTTTCTACAATTTGAAGCTGTTGATGAAGGGACAGAAATTTGCAGATATTCCAGATATCCAAGTGAATGTGACATCCATTATGAAGGCAATACCAAAGGATTTTTCTAAAGCTTTCCAGTATTTGAGTGTTGTCAAAAGTGCATCATAGCACGGGTGATATGATGTACTTTGAATGCCAGTAAAGTTTGGTTGCATTTCATAAGGAAAACAATTTTTTATTTTTTTTAATTTACCAAACTTTATTATCACATTTAATATATAACATTTACAATGATATAAAATGTATATTCAAGATTTGTAATTTTATACAAATTGTCAATAAATAATTTTTTTTATTAATGTTTATTCTTCATTTCTTCATTAATGTGAAAAGAATTCAGAATATTATCAATATATAAAGTAATAATTTTATAGTTATTAACAAAAAGAAAATTTTTGCTTTAGATCATAAGTTATGATATTTTGTAAATTTTATTACAGAATTATCAAAATTGAAAATTTGTTTACCTATGAAATAAAACTTTAATTTTAAAAAAATAATTTATTGTTTATATGGATATTTATTTTAATTTTAAAAACAGTCAAAACATTTATATTTTAAAAATTCTATTTAATTTACTAGCAAACATTACTTTCAGTTATTATTATTAAGAAAACAGAGATAAGTTGCAATATTATTCTAACCAATTGAATTTTGGAAAATAAGCACATAACTGGAGTTTCATTACTACCACCACAAAACTTTAATTTCTCTAGCAAGTTAACATCTCTAATTAACTAATAACAAATGAACCTCAACCAAATGAAACTCTTTCAAGAAGCTTCTTGAAGGTATTCCATTTGGTTGATGTTTGTTAAACCTGATGATGGCTGATGAAGGCAGCCAAAAATGTTTGTCATTAGTTAATTTGCTGGAGTAAAGGTTTTTGATGATAAAACTTATGTAATTTAAATATATTGAAGTGGTTTGAAAAAGAAATCAACTGCAAGATGTTTGAAAATATTTTGCACAAGTTTTTAATTCAGGTTTATGGGAAGATTTGTAAAAATAAAAAAAGTAGACATTCAAATGTAACCTCTCCAACTTATTTTTAAATTAAAAATTCTTCAGCTTTGTATGCACTTCAGTAAAACAACTCATTATTTGTCTAACAGAGAATGTTAAAGAATAGAATCTGTTTACAGCTAGATTTAATTTGAATTTAAAAGAAAACACCAAGAATCAAATGAAAAAGCTAGTTTAACTATCCAGCTAGAAAGAACATGGATATTATTGAACTAAAGGTAGGTTGTTATTTCACCATCTCCAGTTAAATTATTAAATTTAATACAATTCAAAAATTAATATATTACTTTAGACTATTTTGAAATAAAAAAATGAGACTAGAACATGCAACTTCTGCTTACCATGAAGATATGTTGTCAATTATGCTTCTCAGACCTCTGTACAATCTTCACTTACAAGCAAATTAATTTGAGATATAACAATACAGGTCATTTATATGTATTTGTATAAACATTCTAAATTTTGGACCTCTTGATGTGAGCTCCTGTCTGTGGTGAGGGGACCTTCCAGAAATGGTTTAGTAACTCTTCTTTACCATTCCTGGGATCTGAACGCCCACCAACGTGTTTGCCGGAAAGGGGGATATGGGAAGTTGAGGGGCAACATAACATCCCCCAACACACTGCTTTGGCCCCTGCTTCGGATAAACGGGAGGCTCAAATCAGGCTCTGTTTGAGTCAATCGGTTGGTCGTTGAGTCATTCTTGACCTCGGCTTGGAGTCAACTGATCGATACAGACTGGGTGGACACATCAGACAAGATGTGCACTTCTTGACTGCATTGTGAGGGTATAGCTCCTGAGAAACCCTGGTGTGATGGTCTATGGGAGTCTCACATGTGATGGCATCCCCTTGTTGGGCCCCATGGTGGGTGGGGTCACCAGGAGCTGAATGTTTTTTAACATTATGGATTCCAAAAATCTAAAACAGCAACAAAGAACAGACCAAGTATTATCAAATAAAGAAAGCATTTCCAGTGAGCCTGCACATTTGATAGTACATGCTACAGGAGACAAACCACTGTCCAAAAGCTCTCCTTTTCTGATTCAAAAGCTATTTGAATCCACCATTGGGCACCTGAAAAAAATACAGAAGTTGAGGTCTGGAGATTTACTTATAGAAATAGCATCACCTCAACAAGTTATGAGAGTTGGCATTATCAGAGATATGGGAGTTTTGATCACACCACACGGAAGTTTAAACTTGTCTTCTGACATTAAATCTGCCTCAGATATCACAGGCAGATTTAATGCCAGAAGACGAATCAGAAATTCAGACAGGTCTGTTAGATCAAGGCGTCACTGCTGTTCGACGTATCTCCATTTGTCGAGATGGCAAGATGATACCAACTAAACACCTAATTCTGACATTAAACAAGCTGACATTGACATCTGTTATTACAGCAGGTTATCTGCATTGTCCAGTTCGACCGTACGTTCCAAACCCACTGCACTGCTTCAAATGCCAGTGGTTTGGACATTCACAAACATCCTGCCGAGGAAACAGCATATGTGCACAGTGTGGAACTGAAGGTCACCAAGAGTACTGAGTGTACCAATACTCCATGCTGTGTGAATTGTCAAAATGCCCATCCTGTCTACTCCTGGAAATGCCCCGCATGGCAGAGAGAGAAAGAGATTCAGCACATAAAAACAGTTAACAACATCCCTTATTCAGAGGCTCGGCGCATGGCCACTTCAAGTGCACCATTGAAACAGAAGACATTTGTGGCTGTTTTGAAATCCACAAAGACATGTGGGGTTCAGATATTTCTGTCTCCCCAAGCGAATCTCTTACTCGCCATGTGAAATGTTTATTTAATTCAATCAAAAGAAACCAAAGAAAAGGAAAGTATCAAGACAAAAACACCACTACCCAAAGCAGGGGTAGTAACCAGAAATTTGGGTTCAAAGAAAGCTAATAAGAACCCACTTAACAAACAAAAATTAAAAGCAGTCCTCTCTAAATCTAAAAGATCAGTCCATGAGTGAGTTCTCTGATATATCTGATGAAGAGAACAATATGGAAGTGACAAAACCAATGTTGCCTCCGAAAGAAAAACCACCAGTGAAATTAAAGGGGGATAACCTTGCTTTTTTACAGACACACTATGGTGACATTATTCAACACTTGGCAGATTATTCACCACTTTATTCAGTTGGTCCAACTGAATAAAGTGGTGAATAATCTGCCAAGTGTTGAATAATGTCACCATAGTGTGTCTGTAAAAAAGCAAGGTAAACTACAACACGGTTTCATCAGAATCAAAGGGATACCCTTGTTAAAAATGCTGCCTCAAACACACAATGGATTACAAAATAATCCAATGGAACTGTCATGGTTTCCGCAAGAACGCTGACATTAAACACTTGACATCATCTATGCCATCTCGCTGCGTGGCACTCCAGGAAACACATCTAAAACCAGGAGAAAAAATCTCTTTAAAAGGATTCAATCTCTACCGCAAGGATGATGATAGCCACAACCATGCCAGTGGGGGTGTGGCTATTCTGGTTTCAAACCACATTCAATTCTTACCAGTAAAAATAATCACTGATTTGCAAGCTGTGGCAGTCAGAATTTCTATTGGAGTAACTGTTGGAGTAATTGTTTGCTCTATATACTTGTCACCAGATGTCAGAGTCAATGAGAGTGACTTGGATTCCCTGGTTGAACAGTTGCCTACTCCGTTCCTTTTACTCAGTGATTTCAATGGCTATAATCCAATGTGGGGCAGTCCCAACATCAATTGTTGAGGCAGAGCCATTGAGAGACTCATAGGCAATCACCAACTATATCTGTTTAATACTGGAGAAGTGACATACAGTACTTCTATGCCCCCAACAAGAACATTCACTGCCATTGATTTATCCTTAGCAAGTCCAAACCTGTTTTCAGCATTTACATGGGAGGTTGGATCTAATCCACTCTCTAGTGACCACTTCCCAATATTTCTAAAATACCGAGGCAGAGGAAGCTGTGAAACATCCCGTCCACCACATCATTGAGGAAATGGTCAATATTGCTGATATCAATGAAGCAGTTGAAGTTGTCACTTCCAGTATTATTCAGGCAGCTGAAAAAACAATGGGAAAAACATCAACGAGATATCCAAAGCATTCAAAACCATGGTGGGATCAGAATTGTGAGGCAGCATACAAACAACAAAAAAAAAGCATGGGGAATTTTCAGATGATACCCCACTGCTAGAAATTTGATAACTTTCCAAAAAGCAAAGGCAAATGCCAGAAGAATAAGACAGCAAAGCCAAAGGGATTCTTGGAGGAAGTATGTTTCTAGCATAACATCTACTAGTTGAAAAGCATTCTAGGATAAAATCCATAAAATTAATGGGAAATATGCTTCTCACTCTCTGTCCCTGCTGGAAAATAATGGCACAATAATCAGCGACATACAGAGTATTGCTGATACGTTGGGTGTAACATTTTCATCTTTATCCAGCAATATTATGTATTCAAGGAATTTTCAGGTTTATAAAGCCCAAAGTGAAAAACAGTGTTTAAAATTTCATTCCTCATCTAATGAGGAATATAATGTGCCATTCACCAGCATAGAACAGGTGTAAGGAACCAAGTCCGAGAATTATTTTTATTTACTTTTATTTTTGCTTTTTATTATATTTTTGTTTGGGGCTTATGTTTTGTTAGGACGAAGGTTTCCTCACCATTCACCTTAGAAACTTAAAAATAGAAGAGAAACCAACTCACCGAGAGAAAAACGCCGTAGAATAAACTTGCACACCCTTGCGCTCCCGAGTGGAAAAAAGTAAGTCCGCACCGAGAAAAGGGGGGAGACCCCACAAGCACAACTTAGGGACTCGCTAAACCTTAAAGAATAAAAACATCCTAAAAATTGTCAAAAAGAACAATGTAAAAGGTTAGCGAGTATTGTCAGAAAATAGGCTGCCAGACAAATATTTGCTAACAATAAACTTTTTTCTAAGTATGTAAATGAGGGGAGTGATCGCATTCAGAGTTGTGATGTCACCTCACAGTATAAAGTCCAAATCTCAAGGGAAGATGGACGAGGTGAGCTTCGTAGCAACAAACGAAAGAGAGGTGTCCGATAGGATAAAATAGTTCCAAGGTGATTTTGAAGTTATTCGATTTGTGGATCGAAGATTAGAGAAAGTCTTGAGAGTTGAGGAAAAGGGTTCCTAGTATATTGAGGTGACGAATAGGATCTTTAATTTGTAAGAATTGTTGTATATAAATTAATTCTTATGAATTAATTTATTTTCTAAGGTGAATGGTGAATCTTTGTCCTAACAAAACATAAGCCCCAAACAAAAATATAATAAAAAGCAAAATAAAAGTAAATAAAAATAATGCTCAGACTTGGTTCCTTACAGTACCAATTCGGATTATGGGGTAATTTGCCAATTTTTATAAAAAAAAAAAACTTCCTACAGAATCGAAGATTCCATGTCAGGATGAGCAACACTTTATCTAGGCTTTTCACGCAACAAGGTGTTCCTCAAGGCTCTATTTTGAGTGTGACTCTGTTCCTAATTAAAATTAATAGCATCGCTAACTGTCTTCCTCCCAGTGTGAAATGTATGTGGACGACTTCCAGATCTCCTGTCAGTCTAGTAACATGAATTTCATTGTGAGACAAACTGCAAACCTCCCATGTAGGAATCGCATAGACAATTGTCTATGCGATTCCTACATGGGAGACCAATTGTTTTACCTTTAACACGGAGGAGACCTCCTGCATCCACTTTTGCCGAAGGCATGGTTTGCACCTGGACCCAGAAATTCACCTAAACGGGGCTAAAATCCCAATGGTTAATGAGGCGAAGTTTTTGGGAGTTTTATTTGACCATAAAACTGACATTTTTACCACACTTGTGCATTTTGAAGAGTAGATGTCTAAAATCTCTGAACCTTTTAAAGGTATTATGCTGCTCATCCTGGAGAGCAGACAAATGTTCTATGCTCATGATTTATAGGGCCCTTGTCCACTCAAAGCTGGATTATGGATACGTTGTGTATGGCTCTGCGCGAGAATCTACTCTTCGGATGCTTGATCCAATCCACCATCAAGCACTGCGTTTGTGCATTGGTGCTTTTCAAACTTCTCCTGTCCAAAGTTTGTATGTAGATGCTTATGAGTCTCCACTATCCCTCAGGAGAGAACAGTTCTTTCAGTCTCGTTTTTTACTACATCAAACAGAAATCTCTGAATAGACTTTCAGGTAATAGTTCAGATACTCAGCTGAAAAGATTATTTGCAGCTCGGACAAGTAGTGTCCCTACATTCAGCATAAGAATGGAGAATGTAAGTAGCACGATAGTCCTGGACACAAGCAATATCTCACAGGTTGAGGTTAATAGTATTTCACCTTGGTCAACCCCAGCGATAGATGTTGATTTAAGCTTAAAGCAGTTCCCCAAAGAAACCACGCCAGACTATGTCTATAGACAGCACTTTGCAGAAATTCAACATTGTGACAGGAATTTAATTCCTATATACATTGATGGATCTAAATCGGATAACTGTGTTGGCTCAGCCTTTGTTTGCCAAGATGAAATTATGGCAGAACAAATAGCACCAAATTTTTCCACCTTTTCTGCGGAGTTGCAGGCATTTATTTAGCCCTAAAGTATATAAATAGGAAAAGTCATTGTTGCTGTGTGATTTACACTGACTCAGTTAGTGCACTTCAGGCTTTGATCTCGTGCAAACCTAGCTCTCACTCTATAGTGATTAAAATTTGGAAACTAATTTGTCATCTTACTACGTGTAACTCCTCTGTAAAGCTTCGTTGGGTCCCAGGCCATGAGGGTATAAGAGGAAGTGAAGAAGCTGACACAGCTGCAAAGTCAGCAAGTTCTTCACAGCATACAATGTGTATTGAAGGAGATGATTTGAAGCTAGTCGTTAAAAGATGACTAGCAGAGAGATGGCAAAACGTGTGGAATGCACAAATCCACAATAAACTACACGAGATCCAACCTTTGGTAGAAAATTGAACAGATAATACGCAGTATGATAGGAGATCTGAGGTTGTCCTTACTTGTTTGAGAATTGGACACACTCGACTGACTCATTAATACCTTTTGAAGAGTGATGCTCAACCAGTATGTCAGTATTGCAACTGTACTATAAGTGTTAAACATATACTTTGCAACTGCGTTGCTTTTGACCAAAGTCATAGACAGCATTTCGGAAATGCAAGTTTGAGAGAGATTTTGGGCCAGAGGCCAAATCTGGACAATATAGTGGACTTTCTGAAAGTCATTAATTTAATATGTATAGAGAGATTTGATTATTTATTTACTAAAATTAAATTTTCGACTATAAATTCGTATCTTCTATTATCAGGACTTATTATACTGGCTTTACAGATAATGCTACAAAGTTTTACAGAAAACAATTTTTATTTTATTCCATATACCTGAAAAGAAAAAAAGGACATTGAGGCATTTTAATTAAATTGATTATTTATTTATTTAACTTTGTTTTGCATATTTATATTGTTGTATATATTTGTTTTTGTTATTGTTTGTTTATTTAATTTTGTCTTATGTTTGTTATTCGTGATGTTTAAAATTTCTCACCATTAGCCCTGGCACAGCTTAGCCTATATAACTCTTGCGCCAAAAAACCAAAACCAACCAACCAACCAAAATTTTGGAAATCACTTAAGAATAGAATATTTAGAAAAATCCATTTAGCAAATGTCCATCCTCAAGAATTTCTAAGTCTAGAAGTATTTAGGTTTGTTCTGGTATGTTAAACATTGCACATATTTCAATAAGACGCGTAAAAGCCATTATTACATGGATTCTTATTAACTTTCCAGCTCAACAAACTGGGAGAAAATGGTAAAAAAGTATGTTTACATTGACCAAGTTTCAATCTAGATGTAGTATTTGTTATTTATTAAATAGTCTGAAAATAAAAGGAAAAGAGTGCAACAAGATCTTCACACTTTCTGATCAACCATCCAGGTTGTGGCTCAAACTAAGACAGATCTTTTGCTTACTCAAAATGTTGTCTTTACCAAATGATATTTTAAATTTTTGTATATTCTGTAAGTTGAGACTGAATTATTACAGGTATATAAAAAAAATCGTGCTTAACTAGGTTGAATGAAATTTTATACACAAAAACAGTTCTTAGGAAAGCTTAATTTTATTGCAAACAAATCAGAATTAAAAATTAACATTAATTTGGTATGATCTTGAAAAATACCAATTTGTAATAAAAAAAAAAAGAAATAAAAAAATGTAGATTTAGCTTCGTATTGTGCTATACAAATATTAATCTACATCACTTAATATAAGTTTTACATTTAAAAAAAAACTTTAATTTTTAGGGGATAAATAGGAAATATGAAATTACTAATAGTGAGATTGAATTATAAAATTCTTATATGATGATGATCCTTTTTTCATTGCTTTAAAACAAACTTAAGTCTTCTTAAATACTATTTGTTAAAATGTAGAATTAAGATATAGATCTTTTAACTAATTATATTATTTCTCAAGTTTTGAATGCAAACAATCTACAAATATTCAAAGATCTTACTTAGAAAATGATTTTGATATTTTTATTTCAAATAAATTTGCCTTTCAGTTGTTTAGTCTAAGTCAGAGAACTTCATTTGAAAAATTAACTTTTTCAAATTTTCCAATTACATTGAATGAAATTCCTATAAGTCACAAATCACATTAAATATAATGAATAAAGCAAATCATTCAAATGTTTACATTTTGACAAAAATATATCTTTTAAACTTTTAAGTGTAACTCTTATTCTATTTAGCATATTTACATATCACATAAACCATATAATATTTTAATTTCATCTTCGTCGTCGAGATTGGCCGGTGTTTCCAATATGAGAGGAAGATTGTTAAAACGAGCATCGTTCATTATTAATTTAAATCCATTTATGCCAATATGACCACGTCCAATATTTTCGTGTCTATCCAAGTGACATCCTAATTTACCTACAAAATGTGAAAATATTTGTAGATGCTTGAAATAAAAGTAAATTTCTGGAATAAAGCTAGAAAAATTGATCTTACCAACAGAGTCATTGAGATGAACAGCTTTTAAATATTCCATTCCAACAATAGTTTCAAAATCTGACATCATTTCATTGAAACCTTCTTCATTTGATAAATTATATCCTTTTTGAAAAACAAATGCATTGAATGAAAATGTTTATAAAATGTAATTTAAATAATTCACATTATATCTTAACTGAATTTTTTATTAATGAAAAATAAATGTGAAAAAATCATTAATAATAATAATAGAGTACAATGTAACTATCTGAACAGAGAATAAATTTTTAGATTTTATTCTATTAAAATGAAACACAGTAGAAGCTCCACATTCATGCATTTCACATACTTCATAATTGGGTATTTGAAACCAATTTTTTGTATTTTGTGAAATGTGAAATTCTTATTCACAAATGAATTAATAAAAATAATGAAACAAGAGAATGGCATTAAAATCATTTATTTGTTCTTTACTTTAGATGTCTTCTAATGCCATTTATATCGCAACCGTTAAGCCATTAGACTAGTGTAAATACTTTTCGTAATTTCTTGTATTGTTTTAGCAAGCACAATTATGCAAATAGTAAACATTGTAAAGCCCAAAGCGTACTAAAATAAAATACAAGCAGATTTTAATTAGTTTTTCTTTCATCCTTACAAATTAACAATGCATTTAGCAGATAAACAGTTCTGAAGCAGTTGAATATTTTTCTGCTGAATGTCATTACAGAAGTGCTACTTCAAAACATTTTAAATATATTGCGGTTGCATTTAGTAGTGGATTTCATTCACAGTACCTTTGGGTAGTTTTAACTGGTCAAAGAAGACTGCACCTACATAACAAATATAGCTGATATTATTTATGTATAGGAAGGTATGCTTTATAGTATTAATCCACTCACACACAGCTATCAGCAAATATATGTATAAAAAAATTTAAGGATGAATTTAATTTACTTTGAATGTTTTTGTTTGTGCAAATAAGAAGCTACTGTAATGCCTCCATCCACTTGCATCAATCATAATTCATTGTTCTACAGATTCATTATCATTGGATAGCAGTTACAACTACTATACCTCTGCTTAATTAGAACTGTTGAGTCTTTTGAACATAGTCCATGTTATCTAAACAAGAAGATTCTAGTAGCAAAATCAGAAGAAAGCAATATCTCTGGAAGAGAAAATTAATGTTAGATCATTTTCAGAAACAAGAAGCTGTTTCTGAAAGTGATATAATACTTTAAAAAAGACAGATTGCTAGAAATCTATCAAGAAAGGAAACAGCCTTAAATATCAGTCACAGAAGAATGTCTCTTTTAAAGAGTTACTTCACTTTTTTTTTTATAGATAATGTGTGTGTTTTATAATTTTAGTACAAGTACTAGTCAAGATTTACTATGCTTAAATTCATTCTGAAGATGGTTTAAAACATTAAAATAAATTACTATATTATGCAGAGCTGTCCTAAGGAAGGAATTAAAGAATGCATGTTGTGTTACCAAAAACTACTGCATGACTTCCAAAAAAGGCAAAAGTATTTTTTTTTAAAAATGTTTTTTGTCTAATGTTATAATAATTGCACCTTGAACTTTGAAATAAAATAAATAAAACCACAAAGCAATTTTCATAGAAACAAATGTTTCATTTTGAATAATAAATTTTTTAATCCCCTTATTTTCTCAATGTATTTCTCATTTTCATATTCATGGCAGTTTTGCAGAACCCATAAATATTGAGTTTCTACTTGTACTACATTTTTGTGCATATAATCCACAGATTATCTATAATAAAGTTAATTCAAAACCAAGCTCATATTATCCAATAGGGAAACTAATCTGTTGATTTTGTAATTGATTAGGAAATAGTTAAGCATCTTTTCCTTTGAAGTCACAAGAGTATCTTTGGAAAACATAAATCTTTTGTGTACCACAGGCATGTGCATCTGATTTTTCCTGAAAGTCAAAGTATATTTGTGTAGAATAAGTTTAACTCAGTAAAGGCTTTCTTGGCTGAAATATCAGATTGAACTTAGAATCATTGAAACCATCAAAATATATTTTTTCTGATTCTATTCTTTCGTTTTGCATATTTTATAACATATACAGCAAATTGCTAATGAAGTGAAACACAAGGAAAATATTATATACAGATCATTTCAAAATAATCTTTGGAGTTTCAAAGAGACTGAATTCACATAAAAGAGGGCAGCACTGGACAAAACAGGAATTCAAACAGTTTAGAACTAAGTAATTTTGCACAATTACCATTGTTAGGTGGGGATAGTGTTAGTAAAAATATCTGCTGTACCATGGTGTAGAGCAGTGTTCCGCGGCACACTGATGTGCCGTCACATGGTGAAAGGTGACGTGAACTTTTACATATTCTGTTAATTTCAAATTTTATTTATATATTTTTATCACAGTTGTTGTGTTTCTTATGCTTGTATTTCATTCTCTGCCGCAGTACTGATGAAATAAGATGATGTTTGTTTATTCTTTATTGCAAGCCACGCATTTTTATGTATTCTAAGAAATTATATGTAAAAAAAATTTGCTCACAGGTATTGATGTCTGTTTAATAACAATAATAATAGGTTAGTGGCATTATGTAATTCTATTAATAGTATTATATTATACGTTTTTGAGGGGAATAACATTTTGGTGTGCCGTGTTGAGTCATGGGTGTGCCGCAAGTAGAAAAAGGTTGCGGAACACTGATGTAGAGAACTCATTTTGTGTGAGAATTTCATACAACTAAGTTCATAATTACTGTGCAATGTGCATTTCATGCAAAATTTAGTAACATTCTTGTCCCATTGAAGTAAGTTCAGTACTTCTCTTGCAATGAATTTTTATAACTCCAAAAAATTATGAAATGCCTTGAATACAAATTTATATGTTTAAGGCTATATCTTAAAATCTGTATTAATATATATGTTTTCAATACTACTTTGAAGGTATAGGATAAATACTGGTGAAGAGGTTTATTTCAGTTTTAGCAGTTTTTTATACTTATGGGTTATGCACTACTATACTATTCCATACAAAAATATAGTAAATAAATTTGAATTTATTAAAAAACCTAATATTAATGTTATTTCAAATAATGATTACTACAATGGTTTTGAGAAGTAAAAAGTTAACCTTTACTTGTACTCTAGTACAAGTAATACACTTTAAATAAATTTTCATTTACAAATTTATTTTGTTGTGTTAACTCACCTCTGATGTCAGTAGAGAAAGAGGTTAAAAATATAAATTTTTGAAGAATCAAATTTTATATTAATTAAAATTTTTATTAATATATGTACTTCTGTATTGAAAAATAAATAAGCACTTTTAAAACGAATAGAAATTTACCAGCTGCAAAAGCATGACATGTATCCAAGCAGACACCAATTCGTGACTTATCTTCAACAAGATCAATGATAGCTCGCAATTCTCTAAAATCACCTCCCACAGTATTCCCTTGTTTACTCATGTTTTCTATAACTATTAAAACAATAATTAGTAAAACAATCATATTTATTTTGATAAATATATTACATTTTAAACCAAATTTGAAATTAAAAATTTAAATGATTTATAATGATATAATTTCTAAATCAAGTTATATTATTTTTATTCAAAAACCTGAAGCATACTTGAAATAATAAGAATTTATTATTTGCCTAAATAGAATTTGTTTACTATATACATTCGAAGAAGAATTAATAGACAAAATGCTGAAAATAGTCAGACAAAAAAACTACTTCATAAATATTTATAAATAATAAAGTTATTGCATATAATAAAACGAATAAGCAAAAAAAGAAAGTGGCATCCATTATAGGGACTGAAATAAAGTAAAAAAGAGTGCATCTCATGATGAAATTTCCTATCATAATCAACATAATAATGAAGCTAATTGCTTTACAAATTACCAAAGCTATTTTTTCAAACTTACACAATATTACAATTCATGACTTTGGATACATAATAATGTAATATTTATGTATAATTTAATTTATTAAATTATTTATATTTTCAATACTGTTTTTTGTAATAAATTACAGGTAACTCCCATATAACATGGCACTTCTATAGGATGGATTCACTCTAACATGGTTCGAGAATTGGGTAAAACCCTCATATAACATGAAATGTAATAAAAACTATTAAAGCAAACTTTATCTAATTTGAAATTAGGGAAATCCCCATACAGAAGTTCAATAAACACGATAAAGCTTTTAAGTGCAAAAGATACCTCATTTGACATTTTTCATTCAAGTGTGTACGTACTATCAGATTTTCCTGCATAATTTTCGTAAACTATTAGTACTTAAGTATGTAATTTTTCTTTTCCTGCCTTCAGTCAATACATGTGGTCCTTCTTGAAACTTGTTTAGTGTTGCCAGATCATGATGCTTCTGCTTTTGGTGTTGCCAGATGTTTTTCCTTTATTCCATACTTGCTTTACTCAGTCACCTGTTTTTAGGCATTGAACCACACCTCCAACCTTTGGGACAATCCACACCTTTACAAGTATACTTTAAGACTTTAACTGTATCTCTTTAATAGGATATTAGGATAAGGATATCTTGCCAAACAGAAAACACCCACAGTTAATAGTGCTTAGTGATGATGAAGAAAACATTGTTTAATTTATATTAATACATATCACTTCTTAAGAAAATTTTAATAAAGATATTTATCTTAATTATGAAAATATAATAGCATGTTATTTAATTTTTGGAACCTAACCCCCCTTTTCGTACTAATTCTTTGTTTTGTATAACACAGATTCGCATAACACGGCAATTTTTCAGAACAACTCCCGTGTTATACAGGGTTACCTGTATATCAGAATACTTGCTACGTTCTGAATGAAGCTTGCTAATTTTAGCTGAAACTATGCTGAATCACATGAAAACACGGTAAATAATTTTGCATTGTTAAAATGCTAAAAAGTGATTTGTACCTTCATAAAATTAAAGTAATCATTAACAAATATTAAAAATTTTAATTTTCTTATACAGTCAACCCTCCTTAATCTGCCTACCTTGTTCACTCAGAATTTGGGTGGATATAAGAATGGTGGATTAGAAAGGTATCAACAAAAGACTTTTTTTTGGTAAATAATTTTTATTACAATAAGTCTTATTAATGTGTACACTGGATATATACTGCTGGCCAAGTAAAATGCAACACCATGTAGGCCTCTAGATACTGCAGGTGTTGCATTTTACTTGGCCAGCAGTATAGTATTAACTTCAAAATCACCATGGATATTGTTTTAATTATCATAGATATACAGTGGGTGATCGGTTAACGAATATAATCCGTTCCAAGACTTTGCTCACTATCCGAATTGTTCGTTAACTGATTATTGATATACCATAGGTTTCTAAGGGAATTTGATTAATTTGTTCTGGAGACCCCAAAAAAATAAAAAATATATACTTTCTTACTACATTTATTCATATGTAATAATAAAAATACATATATACACGGTCTTGCATTTTTATTAGTCATGTTTTTTCCATTTGTGGGGTTTGGAAAAAACATGACTAACAAAAATCATAAAGAAGACCGATGTCCAATGTCGATTGCTTTTCTGTCTTCTTTGTGATTTCCAGAAGTAATTAATAGCATTATAATTGTAGAGATCCCTAGGCCTATTAACCTCAATCTGGTTTGGATGACATTTTAAGACTGTTGTTCTGACATCCTCCCACTTCTTCAAAGGATCTTTAATAGCAGATGTCAGCATAAATCTGCATTTTCAGAAGAAAACATAAAAGAATTGTTTCTGTCAGAAATATAAAAGGCTGGAATTACAAGAGAGAGTTTCAAAGTTCAGGGGAATACTATCCGATCAGTATATACTGGGTAGAACATCGATGTCGACGTCTCCCATGCTCCGAAAAGTTTCAAATTATTGCCTGAAGACAAAGGAAGACTAATCAGTATTCATTATTTTACGTCGCTTCTTCTTGTGTTTGTTCAGTGAAGTGTTCGTTATCCAAACATGTGTTCGTTGTCCGATCATTAAAATCTTTTGCAAAAGTGTTCATTATCTGATTTGTTCGTTAACTGATCACCCACTGTATTTAGAAGGGCTATGGCTTTACATGAATACTTTTTTAACTGACTTGATTAAAAAAAAATCCTTAATTTTTGCTTGCCATCTTATCATGTCTTGTAATTCTCATGCAAGAAAATTACAAGACATGATACACAAACAATAGCCATGACATACTCAGGTTTTGCTATATTTTCTGTTTCCCAAAAATCCTTGAATTTCACCAGATACTCTAGCACTTTTTCAATGGAAGGAATTTCAGGATCATCATCATCATGTTTCAGCATATCCTTAGTATCTCTCTATTCAAATTCAATGATGTCATCAAGAGTCATCTCATAACAAACTAGTACTGTACATCTTCAATTTGAAGGATATCATCTGCTTGAACTAAAGGACAACAGTAGCCAGAGAACTGGAAAGTTTCTGGACTTCTGGTGAGAGCACTCTCTGATCTTCAGTGACATCAGGATGTGCGAGACCAATAGGTCTCGCACATCCTGATGTCTTCCAACAATTGTTGGATTCTGATGCTTCAAGCAATTAGAAATTGTCCCTGAGGTTACTTTCTGCCAAGCTTTTGCTGTCAATTGAATGGCATTAGTAAGAAGCACATTACAGTTGACAACTTTCCAGCATTGAGCTTCCAACATTCTATGACTAAATTTGAAATGCATATTCCTGTAGTGTACCTTGAAAGATCTGATCTGAATCAGCATCAAGTGGTTGTAGTTTTAACATTTTGAGTTCTGGGGTCATGCTGCATAGTGTCAAAATTGCCACTTGGCAATATTTTTATTAAAGTGCAATAAAAATAATACTAGCGATAGCAAGTGGCGATAAAATCCCAAGTCTGTTTATTTCGACATTCAGCATGAAATTGAATCAACAAAGCATACTTCAGAAAAAACAGAAGAATGTCTAGTTTCCATGTGACAGGAGCTCCTTGCATTACGTACCTAGTGATTTCATGATGTCATGCAGCAATTTCAGGCAGAAAAGTGGGAAGTGATGTTGAGAACCAAAGGCAGTTTTCATGCAATGCTGCCCAGCATTTCCATATTGGAGATTTTTTATCAACTGACAAAAATGTGGGGAATTTTTTGGACCTTAAAATGCTGAGAAATGCAAAAAAAATTAGGGATTTTTCTGTATATATGGATATTAGTGTGTGTGTATGGGAGGTCACGATTTTGTTCACCGACTTTGAAGTTTAATAACACCTGTGCATTTGTTGAAAATTTCTGAAATTTTGCAGGGAGGATCACATATTAGGGGAGTAATGCTATGAAATTTTGGTGGTGAAAGGTTGATGGGGTGGGGAAATAAAAGGGGTTGTGTGTCATATCTCAACTTAATGACAATTTTACTCATTATTAGCATATACAGTGTTTTATAAAACCCATCTCTACCCTTAAAATTAAGCTTCTTGCCATTTTATAATAATTAAAAATATAAAAGTTTTTAAAATATCATAACAGACGGCACCACCAAAAATTTAACTGTTGCTGGGAAACTTAAAAAAAATCCAGCAAAAAGTTTCTTAATTGTTAATATTATGGATAATTTCATTATGCACTCATGTTTATTTTCAGATATGGTAGTATTATGATATTTGAAGAAATAAAAATTTTATTTAACTACATAAAACAGTTAAATCTACAGAGACTTGTTTTTGTTAAACAGGAAATGATGTCACAATTTTCAGGCAATCATTGAACTCAGCTTGAACTCTTTCTTGTTCCAGCAATAATGGACATAAAGCTATAGTTTGAAATACTTAAAACACTGGCATTTATTTGATTTTCCAATTACCATTTGTTTCCTCTTGTCACTTCCATCAATATTTATGTAAAAGGTAATGGTAATCCTCCTCTTAGATTTTTTTGATCCCTTCCAATGTGACATTGTCCTCTTGAGAGGACAATGTCACATTGGGAGGGAGACAGAAAAATAAAGAAGTTTTGCCCGTTTTGTATACATCTCTCAAATTGTACAGTACTTGCTCATTGCTTCTTGTAACTTTCACTGATGATCTTCCTCAATAGTCTGAAGATTAAAAAGTACCATGTAGATCTTTCAAACTTGTATGCCAGCCATTGAAGACTTTCACTGCAGTCTTCAATGTGGACTTCGTGCACAATTCCTTCAGCTGGAACTCAATTAGCTCATCTGTGATAACTGCACCAAAAGCATTTGCTTGGTATTTACAATTCCATCCTATTATTATTATTATTATTATTATTATGTTTTGTGNTTTCAATCTACAAATTCAGAACATTTTCTAAGTTATCATGTTTGACTTCTCTTTCTTGCTTAACACAGCTATAGAAGAAATAACTATAGCCATTGAAGAAATAACTGCATGTAATTTCTTCAATGGGAGCAAGTTTTCCATCTTGCTCCCATTATTCTGATTGAGCTTTAAGTGACTTTTGAGCTTTAAGTGACTTATATGCTTTTATATAATTTGTATGTGTGGTTAAGAGTTAAAAATTGGTTATTAGGAGGTGTCACCATATTCTATCTTCAGCCATAAACTACGATCCTCTAAGAATGAATTCAAGTCATTTTTGTTCAGAGCAATTCCACTATACATTACAATTTTACTTTTGTATCAATCAGCATCTTGACTAGTAAGAGGTGTTCAATAACATCGTAAAAAAATCAAGCAATGAGTTAACTTTTCCGGCAAAGTTAAAACTGCATGTGATGCCATCCATTATGATATTTTATTTAAAAAACTTTTTATATTTTTAATTATTATAAAGTGGCAAATAGCTTAATTTTGAGTGTAGGGACGCGTTTCATAAAAAGTTTTATAATAGAGTCAGGAAAATAAAATGTATGTTTTGCCATCTTCTAGATGTGATAAATGTTTAGACACAAGACAAACTATACTGTATACACTTCCATGAACAGCACGACACAAATATGGTATAGGAGGTGGAGCAATGATGATTTGGTCATGTGAGATGATGTTCAGGCAAGTTCTCTATTAAGAGGGTTTCTATTGCTTTAGGACATTTCCTGAGAGTAGTTGTATTGATCAAAACATTCTTGGAAAAGAAGTGTTTTTGCACTGTCCTGAAAATATTTTTTAAAAAGTAGAGTGACTTTATATCAGAGCTTGATATGAGTAAAGTAACCAGCACTCCCATGAGAATTGAACTCCTGGGAGAATGAGATAGCCATCTGATCTAGGTCTATTTCATAAACAAAATACATTAAGCTTGTCAATAAAAATCTTCACAGAATATTTCCTTCCTTTCCAGAATTTGCCTTCCATCACACTATTGTGTGATTTCCGGCAAATTCTGAGAGAACATCTATTAGATTTAACCTGTTCTGTTCTCAGGCATTATTGCAGCAGATTATAAAGGGTTAAATGTACAATTGAATAAAATTTTAAAAACATAATTTATTACCTGTTGTAACATTATTTGTTTGCTTATGTGCTATGTTAATACTTTCAGCAATCTTTTGAATACATTCTTCAGTTGAAATTAATCCACATGTAGATCCTGAAATAAATTTTTCAAATCAGATGTGATTAAGGATATAAAACTAGAAATTCCTCTATTGTATACTGGCACAATGAAGTGACCTCTAACTAAATAAAGATGGAAACCTTGCCAAATGTTGATTAAGAGGTCACTTCACTGTGCCAGTATACAATATATAAATAACAACATGGTTTCGATAATAACATAGAAATTCCTCCTTCAAACATGACAGAATACTTTTTATGAGAAAATAGAGATTGGAAAATTAAGAGTAGAGATTTCAAGAAATTCAAGAAGACTTGCTAATACTTCTACAAATTAAGTATTTTATACTATCTGTTGTAACAAAAAGCAACAAAATAAAATTTCACTTGAAGTGGATAAAAATAGTAGGAGTTATAGAGAATTCACTTACACACAAACAGATGATGGCCTTTATATTAAAAAAAATATATTAAAATCTTTATACACTATATTCTGAGTAAACACTATTGTCTTTTAAAAGATTTCCTTGATGTCTTCCTTTAGTAATAGACACCTTAATATTGTTTTGATTTCTTGAACAGGATAAAGCAACATAGAGTTGACCAACTTTACTCTTATGCTTTCCCTTAGGCATTTCTTTTTGACAAAATAGAGAGTCTTTTTAATTCCATGTTGATAAAACAAAGATGAATTATATGTACAGTACATTACTTAGATAAGTGATAACACTTTCTAAATAACAGGCTCATTAGATCATTATTTCTGACTAGAAAATAGAACATCACATGATCACTACGGAAATATATATTTTTTAATTTGTTATAGAAGTGACATGTGGTGTCTATTGTTCATCAGTATTCTATATTTGGCAATATCATATTTTCTTTTTTCCATTCCTTTAATAATTTCAACTTTTTAAGCTAAACTGTGTGTATGTTTCATGCTTAGATATTTTAAAAAACATAACTAATCAACTCCATTATCTATCTGCAACTGTCACTAAAACTGAAATGCAATAATTTTGTCCCCATCTCGAAACTTTACAAAATATGTGTATTTCAGGAATTCCCCAAAACACTTGCTCTATAAATCAACTGACTACATGCTATTTTCTCTTGTTATGTTTCATTTTCAAAATATAAGATATTTTAGTTTTGAGATATCCAAATTTATAGTAAAAAAATTTCAAACTAACTGCATTTTTTAAACACTAATTTAAATTTGAATTTCAAGGGAAATAATAGCAGATTCTAATTTACTACACTAATGTATATATGAGATTTGTGTGACTTAAAATAAAATGAATTATTACTTACAACTAAAATTACTCATTACACAAAATATTCCTTGGGATTTTTACTTTGGATCAAACCAGTTTCTGAAATTTGTTTGCTTAATTCTTCATTAATATTTAATATTGTCATTGTACAATCTTCTCTTATTGAAAATGACAGATATTTTTATTGCAATAGCTTGTGATAAATTAATAAACAAATGATATGAAGGAATGGTCTTGGATCCACAGATATGGTTATTGATTGAATAAAAAGATCCCTCTTTTGTCATTGAAGAAATTTTATAAACTATACATAACTGTATTTAATATGAAGCTTTTATTCAAAGATTTATTTATCAAAAGTCAAAAAACTTTGTTCAAAAACCTGTACTGATTAAGAAAAAGTGTTCCATAAAAGTGCTTAAAATGAGATTGTTTTTCAATATTAGTTATCATAATTGATGTAAAATCTGAATCTGATTTGTAATAGAACATTTAAACTTTTTAAAAAATTGTTCAAGAACATAAGTTACAGATTTGAATTTCATATTTTAAACTCAAAATCTCAATGAATATTTTTATTCATCCAACAAGAAAATAATGTATTATTCATAATAATTTTATTGTGTTACACTTTACATAATAACTGCATGTAATTTCTTCAATTTAATGTATTGTCAGTGATAACCTTATAAAATAATTTAGTTTATCTTATCAATTATTAATTCTATTAAATATCAAGTTGGGTAATTATTAATATATTGTATAAAATATTAAGATGACTTCTTCCTTTAATAGAAAATAATAAATTATTATTACTGTTACCTGGATGAAAATTAAATAATGTTAATCCTAACATTTCACAACGTTTCAACTCATCAATTAAAGCTGCACGACTTTTGTCAAGAATCTCTTGATTTGGAGATCCACAGTTGAGTAAGTAAGATCCATGAGGAATTATCAAATGGGATGCAAAGTTATGAATTTTACAAGCCTCCTGAAATAATTTTGCTGCTTCAGAAGATAATGGTTTTCCAATCCACTGCCTTTGGGATCGAAGGAATAGACCAAATGACTTTGCTCCAATAGAAATTGCATTTGTTACAGCTTTATATATGCCACCTTGAAATACATAATATAATTAAATTTAATGAAATAGTAAAATTTATAAAATAATCATTTTAATTGTTCATGGTTAAGAAATAAAAAAATTAGGTGATCAATCAGAAATCTAAATTACCAGAGCATTTTCAGGCTATGTATTAAGTTAATTAAACAATGTAATTTAAACTAAAAGATTAGACCACTGTCTTAATTAGAATAATTTATTAATCTTAGCATATCAATCATAGAACAAGATGGTAGTCTAGACTGAAAATAATCTGACAATTTAGATTTCTAATGTAATTACAGAATGTGAACTTTGTTTATACTGTATATTTAAGTGATCAAATTTCAGAATAATTGAATATATCTGAACTTAGTACTACTAGAACTTTTAAGAGATGCAAAAATTCTTTAAAATTAAAGAAAATCATATTATTTCTGTTCAAGATGTATTTTGAAATAACAATTTTGTTGATTTTTTAAAATGGAATAATATAAAAAGTAATACGAATTCAGTAATATTTCACTTCAGTTATACTAAATTTAGATAATTACTTATACTTTCTACATGAACAACAAAATTGTAAGTTAATCAAATTTCTTCTTTGTTTAAAACTTCTTCCTATTACAATGACTTTTTAGTCACTATTTAACTAAATGGAATGTTATTTTCATTTGAAATATATTTTACAATGTTCTGAAGCAGGAAATATAAAATGTCGGGAAATGTTTAATTAATAAATTTGGTCTAGAGCTTATAAAAGATATTTAATAAAGCATGTTTAAAAAAAATTTTTTTTTTCCTTCTTTTGTTAATATTTAAGATACTACATTAATTGAGTACCAAAATTTCAAAATTCACACAATGATATTTAGATATACAGTGGTGCCTTGCATTTCATATTTAATCCATTCCAAGAGGCCATTCAAACTCTGAACTGTTCAAAATCTGAAGCAATTTTTACCATAAGAAACAATGGAAAGTGAATTAACCATTCCCAGACCTTAAACAATATCCATTTCAAAAAACTTAAAACAGCAAATATACATAATTTAAGGTAAAAATAACAAAATTAAATGCTCTACTAAAAAATTAAAACACAAACAATAAATAGAATACATAAATATTGTATAATAAAATAAAAATTGTGTTTACTGATCACATACCATCGACTTCAGCATCTTAAACAAGGCCCCCAAGGCCCCCAAACCTGCCACGCATGTACTGCTTTCATGCATCACAATAAGTTCCTTTTTCATCTGAATTGTCGATATTACAGCCTTTCTCTTACTTGTTACACTTCATTGCTTCCAGACACTTCTCCAATACCACAATTAATAAGTAAAGGTGATATTGGGTTGAATAGAAATTTGTATAATTTTAACATCAGTCTTTACTTAACATAGATGTGTTATTTAATTATACCAGTTGTGAAATTAAACACACTATTGCCAATTTAAGATTGTATTCTTTGTTCAGAAGTTTTTTCATGCTTCAAGTGCATTTTTCACTATGTATGCAGTAACTAAAAATTGTTTTTGAAAGTCACTGGTGGATGGAACAAGACAATTTTGTAGCTTCAATAAACTTTATTTATTTTAAAGTTAACGTTTCTTTAATATTTAATTGCATAGGACCCCTTTCATAGGGTCCATTGAACTTAGTAAAGCTACTTTATCATCCTTAGAAACAGTGACATTGACATCTCCATGATCCCTGAACTTAGTTCTAGTAGGTTAACTACCATTGCCGTCCACCACGGACCTATTGACTATATGATCTGTGTGTATTTCTCTCCATTTGACAGGGATGAAGAATGCATAGGGAGCTCAGTCAAGCCATGTCTGCCCTCAAAGACTCCAAGTTCATCGTGGCAGGGAACTTAAATGCAAAGTCTCCTGTCTGGTTCCCAAGGAGGAAAATGACAGGGGAAGGCTCCTTGCAGACCTGATGAACGAATTTGACTGTACATCTCTCAATACCACGGACTTTCCTACCTTCTTCACCACCAAAGCGAGGGGATGGACATCTGTCTAGCACCCACCAGCATGGGTAACATGGTTGAGATTTGTGAAACACTTGCTTACATCAGCAAGTGATCATAGGTACATTCTCACAACCATCAAGATCCTGCAACACCAGCAAGCCAACCAGGAAAGTTTTAAAAACAAAAAGCTCACTACAAACTGGGACCATTTTGACTTGAGATTTGCTGAACTCTGGCACTCCTACTGTTTTGACAATCTAAATAGCAAAGCAAATATAGACAACTACACATCAACCATATTACCAACACCATTAACACTGCTCTCCAGCAATTTACCAACTATAAGGTAAGAAATCATAACAAAACAAACTGGTGTACTGACAAGCTTGAAAAGCTGAAAAAGAATATCAGGAAAATACAGAGAGCATGAGTCCAGGAGCAAAATCTGGAAAATAAAGCAAGTAAAGGCAAAATATATAATGAAAACCTGAAAAACTACAAAAAAGCAATTAATTATGCCAGAACTACAGCACGGAGGAAATTCTTCAGTCATGCCAGAGATCCATGGGTTCAGCCATATCGCATGGTTTAGAAAGGTAGCAAGAAAGCTACCATTCTAATATCTTTAATAAAGATGATGCATCTGGAAACTATGATGTAACTGCCAACATAAAAAATCTCCTAAATTACCATTTTCCAGATGACAATACTGAGGAGGATCAGAAAATTCATTGCAACATAAGGTCTGATGCTAACAATTGTCTAAGCTACACTCTTGACAACTGGTTTGCCTTCCAGAAAGTGGAGAAAGCTGTTGACTCCCTGGCAATTAAGAAGGCCCCTGATGTGGATGGTATCACGGCAGAAACTGTCAAACAGGCCTATAAATTCCTGTCATTTTTGTCATCCTTTTTAACACTTGCCTACAGAATGGTTACTTTCCGGACAAATGGAAAACAGCACGTGTCAAATTTATCCCCAAAGTGCCCAACCCTACTAACAAAAAGGACTACAGGCTGATCAGTATGCTCCCTACCTTGGGAAAAGTTCTTGATGGCCTGCTCATTAACAAATTGAACTGGCATCTTGAAACTACCAACAATATGGGTTCCAGAAAGACAAATCAACGATAATGGCCATCCAGAAAGTCAAAGACCTTATTAAAGAAACATGGAATGAGGACAAACACACACTTCTTATTAGTGTGGACTTCCAGAAAGCCTTCGACCACCTTTGGTGGCCAGTAGTCATGAATAGGCTACGTGAAACCAAATGTCTAGCCAACATTTATAATCTGTTTAAAAGCTAACTGGAAAACAGGAAGGCTGGTTTGTTCACTAATAATATTAGGGTGGTTAAAGAGATAAATTGTGGCTGCCCACAGGGATCATGCTGCGGGCCTGGCATATGGAACCTTGTTTATGACAGCTTACTAAATGTTATTAACAAAGATGACAATACCACTAAAATACAAGGGTTCGCTGACGACACCCTCCTACTTCTTAAACACCAGAATAGTAATGAGTTACAACGAAAGGCAAATGAAGCCTTGCAAAAAATCTATGACTGGAGCAAGACCAATAAACTTCCTATCAATCATAACAAATGTGAGGCTCTGGTTTGCACCAGGAAGGCAAATAGAAGGCAACTCCAACGGCCATTATGCCTATACATCTATAAGGAAAGGATAAAAGTCACCTCTCATCTGAAGTACCTTGGTGTTTTCTTTTTCTTCTTATTATGCTCAGCTGAAAATATCACATAGAAGAGGTTTGTAAAAAAATGCACCAGCGCATTAATCAAATCCACCACATCGCCTGTAACACATGGGGTCTGAGTAGTAGGCATATCAGGATGATTTACAAAGGTGCAATAGAACCAGCACTCACTTACGCTGCTCAGATATGGGGTGAGAAAGTTGATCTTATTCATATAAAAAGAAAGTTACTTTCTATCCAAAGAGAAATGGCCATCAGGGTATGTCATGCTTACTGCACAGCCCCTACTGATGCACTGTTGGGTTGGCAAACATCACACCAACAAATTTGGAAATTAAAAGCATCCTTTGGAAGTGGAAAGTCATCAACATCATGAGTAACATAACAACTGAGGAGGATAGACATCACATGGGGAGAGAATTACCCACCTGACAGCCAGGACAGTCCAGGCAATAAAGGACCACATCATCAATGGATACATTACCGGTGTGGGTACCACCCAGCATCCAGCTGAAATTGGGTAAACTCCAGATAAATATTCACAGCAATAATTTTAGTAGCAAAGGGACTGGAACATTTACACGAATGACTCTGAGTGAGAACAGAACAGGAGCCACTTTCGTAATATACAGTGGTGGCCAATTGTTTAGGACCAAACATGATTGTGGTAAAAATCATTGATTAAATTTAAAAAAAACTGAAAATAAATAAACAATAATGCAAAAATCAATTGTTTGTATTTGTATAAGACATTTGTAGAACATGAAGTAATTTGCATAATTTGTTGTGGAAAAATTACAAGTTGTTTAGCAATACACCCATATACATCTGGTCATTAGTTTAGGACCACTCACAATAAATCCTACAAACAAAGTAAGTACTGTACATTCCAGAAACTTACTAAAACTAATTACATTTTAATGTTTTGATATGAGTAATATATATTTTCTGCTTGAAGATGGTCAGGGGAAAGAATTTGAGTCATGAACTTCATCAAAAAATTGTAAGTCTTCGTAGTAAAAATATCAGCTATGCCAAAATTGCAACAACATTGGGGTGCAGCAAAACATCATGTATTTGCACAGTGAAGCTATGGGAAGAAACTGGATGTCTTTTGGATTGGCCTAAACCTGGAAGACTGAGAAAAACCACCAAATGCACAGATCGTAGAATTCACAGAATAGCAAAAAAAAAAAAAAAATTGCACACTAACATCAACTGATCTCAAAATTAAAATGATAAAACGTGGGATGCCTGAACTTAGTACCCATATCATTAAGTGTCGATTAAATGAGTTTAATCTATTTGGGCGAGTTGCAAGGAAGAAGCCACTCATATCACTGAAAAATAGACAAGCTCGTCTGAAGTTTGCTTGTGAACACTTGACTTGGACAAGTCAAAACTAGCAGTGTGTGCTGTGGTCAGATGAAATGAAGATAAATCTGTTTGGGAGTGATGGTCACAAATACATAAGACAACAAAAAGCTGAGGAATTTTGTCCTAATTGTATTCAACCCACTATAAAGTTTGGAGGTAGAAATGCAATGGTGTGGGGATGTTTTTCTTTGTATGAAATTGGACCCATTCACCTCATAAATGGGATAATGGACAGATTTCAATATAAACAAATTCTGGAAGACATAATGCTGCCATTTGCTGATGACAATTTGCCTCTGAAGTGAATTTTCCAACAAGACAAAGATTCAAAGCACACCAGTAAACTTGTCAAAAAATGGTTTCAGGACAATCATCTAAGGGTAATGGAATGGCCAGCCCAATCATCAGATTTAAACCCTATTGAAATGTTATGGGGTGATGTAAAATCTGCTTTGAAACATTAAAAAAATACCAGAATAGAAATGAGCTATTTGTGGCAATTCAAGACGCTTGGAAAAACATCCCAACTGAGCATTTGCAACGATTGGTGGACTCCATGCCTTGTCGTTGCTTATCTGTGATAAAAAATTTTGGTTATCCAACAAAATATTACTTTTTTTCCTAAATTTTGTTATTGGTCCTAAACATTTGTCCAGGGACAAACTGAACTTGTTGCACATCAACCATTGCTTGAGTAAAAGTAATGTTTTGTTTATGAAATAAAGGTTCTAATTTTATCAAATGAAAACAAAGTTAATATTTTTCCTGAATTTTAGTTTCATTTGTTTGGTTTTAGATTCCACACAACTCGGTTTTGAAAATAATTGTTAATGGTCCTAAACAATTGGCCACCACTGTATAACGGTAATAATAACCAGATCAAGTATCAAGATTATTATAAACTGCACCCTCACTGTTCAAATAACCAGGCAGAGCTCTGGGCTATGCTCAGAGCCTTAATCACTGTAACAACTAATCAAAAGAAATATAAGGGGCAGTATAACTTTAATACCGACAGCAGATATGTGTTGAACATACTAAATAACAGCAGAAAAAGTATTCAAATAGGAATAAAAGCCAGACACCTAGCCAATAACCTAAACAACCATAGAACCCTTACCTTTAATTGGACTCCAGGCCACTCTGGGATTGAAGGTAACAAGGAAGCGGACAGGCTAGTCAAAAGAGCTGCCTCCCTGGAGTTACACTATGCCTACGATAAGATCCCTGTCACAAATATCAATAGTTACATCAATAACAAAATAATGATCATCTGGCAAAGAGATTGGGAAACCTCCAGTACTGGCAGAGTCACTTATAACTTCTTCCCTTCCATTCAAAAAAGGCAACACCTGACATTGTTATATTTTAAACATAGTACAAATTGAAATTCTTTGCATTTTGAATACTAAAGCATGAAAGATAAAAGACCATAGATAATAAATTGCAAAAAATGATTTTAATATTCAAAATAAAAAAAGCAACAAATTGATCCTTTATGCATCAATTCTATACTTCACATTGACAAACTAAGTCTTATATCTATTAAGTTATAAATTGCCATATTTTTAATTATAAAATATCTATATACAAATCTTTCACTTATCAAAAAAAAAATTTCAGTTTTGCTTTCTGTTCTTTTTAAAGAATGTTTGATTTGTTGTTGTTGTAATTGCTTATAACAAATCAAAAATTATTTTATCAATTTACACCTCATTATTACGGGCATGCAAAATTTAAAAGAATTAAAATTTGAATTGAATATATCTAATAATGAAACCGTTAAATTTTATTATTGAAATGTACATATTGATGATTGATGCTCTATTACAGAAAAAAGAAACTGTTTTAGTAATTTTGAAATAAACACTCACAGTTCAGAATTATTAAATACTTGTTATTAGACACAAACACTGAACCAATTTACGGTGTGGAACGATCGACTAAACATAAAAAACAAACGTTTTCGAACCCCTTCTGGGCTCTTCATCAGGTTTTAGCTCGTAAAATCGAATTTACGAGCTAAAACCTGACGAAGAATCCAGAAGGGGTTCGAAAACGTTTGTTTTTTATGTTTAGTCGATTGTTCCACACCGTAAATTGGTTCAGTGTTTGTGTTTGATATATAGGTGTGGTGAGTAGTGAGTTTTTGTACTTGTTATTAGTTCTTTCTTGTGCTTTTTGTCTATGTATACGTTTATATAACTATTACATTGGCCATTGTAACTATTATTTGTGCACGACTGGTCGATATATAATGGTTACAATATCCAGCATAATAATTATATACTTATTATTAGTTTAGGAACAGTACAATTTCTTAACTTTTAATAATTTGTTCCATTAACAGCATCTAATAATATAAAGAAAATTCTTAGTACTTGGTTACTTGCTGTTCTCTTCATTACATGTATTTCCTTTGGAATAAGTACAAGGTTGCCATTGAGAACAAATCACACAGGAACACTTTGAGTGGAAAATCCTTTTGTATCAATAAACCGGCCTTTTTCCACTCAGTGTTCCTGTGTGATTTGTTCTCAATGGCAACCTTATGCTAATTCTGAAGGAAATACATAAAATTCTTAGTATTTAAATATTTATTATGCAGTTTTTTTTTATTTATTTTAGCATAAGTTTTTTGCTTTATAAACAATAATAAAATCATAAAATATTCACCAGATATAGAAACATGGGCTCCAACAAACTTTTCTTCACTGGGTTTTACAAATGGTACCGAGGATTCTTTACTTATTAAAGGTTGAATGGACTTCATTTTTAGTTTCTGCTTTCCCGTCAAAAGTTTACTTTTTGATTTTGTAGTTTTTTTGCATGCGCTGTCTACTGATGAAGTTAAAATGTCACATCTTCCTTTGTGCTTTAGTTTTTGATTTGCAGAATTTAAATGATTGGATTTAGGTCTTCCAACGGGTCTCTTCCCGACTGTTTTAGAAGTGCTCTTTCTTTCTAATTTGACAAGATCACTTTGTAGTGAACTATTTAAATCCGATTTCAAAGATGTCTTTTCTGTTCGTTTTTCAACTTTTAAAACTTTTTTTGTAGAATTATTCTTCTCTAATTTTCGTTTCTTCGAATTTTTTAATTCGTGTGATTTTATGTTATCGTTCTTTTCTTCCAGTTGGGAAAATTTCTCACCTACTTTTAAATTTTTCGATTTAGTCAGAAACTTGGACCTAACATTCTTTATTTTTTCACAAGTATTTACCTGTTTTATTGCTCTAAGGTTATATCCGCTACTTGCCATTTGTGCAATCTAATTTTATTTATATCAAATATTATATAAAAAATATACAATTATAATATTTAAAACTACTTTATATACAAATTTATTGTGATTATTTCATACACGTTAATTAAAAAGAAATGCACAGATATCACATTCTAAAATATTACAGTTTGTGCGACTTTCTTCCTTCTTTTAACCACGTGAATTTTTTGATCTCGTTTTCGAATATAAATATGTGATTATTGGCTGATTTTGGAGTATCACGGAAACAAAGAACCAATCGTATAAGTTCTTTCATAAATATCTGCCAATAGTACCTCGCAAACAGTTGATACGAAGCTCTGGAGAGGAAATGGGAATCGATTACGACGCTCCCTATAATAGCGATGGGCGAAATAGTTACTATATTTGTAAATAATAATAATAGCTTGTTATTGTTATTTTCAAATATCTGTTAAAATTACAGGGGAAAATAAAAATTGCTACTAGTGCTGTTCAATACCTTTTTTTTTTTTTTTTTTTAATAAAAGCATTCTTGGATGTCATTTATATTACACGAATGTCAATTATTAACGCGGTTTTTATGAATTGATTTCAATGCAACAGCAGCGTGTACCAAAAAACGGTAGTAGAATCTAACCCGCCTGCACATTGAAATCAAATTTCAATAGCAACTTCATCAATGATTCGTACGGGCATATAATGACGTGATCGATCTCGGCGCCACTAACTTCTGAATAAGTAGTCCTGTCGCTGAGTGTCAGACCGTCAATTTTCTTTAACATGGGAAGTATATTGAGTTGACAATCTATATCTCTGTAATCAGTGGCCAGCTCTTGCCGAGTAGCTTGTTTGGCAATCGGGGCAAATATGAGTTCGAAATTCTGTTCGTGAACCGATTTGTTCGAAAAAATGAGTCGTTCGAAAACCGAGGTTTGATTGTACTACAGAAGTATTGGATCGCCTTCTCTCTCAATTACGTTCTTAAAAGACAGAAAAATGATAGTCATTTGCATATATATATATATATATATACAACAACGAGATGCTTAATGCAACATCAAACTTGATAAAGTTAATATTTAAAAAAACCGAAAAACCTTTATAATACGGCGGAATGAAAATGAAGTCCGAAACAACAGGAGACTGACACAGAAGTAAACAGATTGAGCTAGAAGAAGCAATCATTCTTTCGTGACGGCCGGATGGCCGAGCGGTCAAGGTGACATCCTACAGCTCTAGGAAACCCGGAATCGGATCCGAATGGTCGAAATATCCCCAGGAATTTATTGGAGGGGTAGTCCGTTCGCATGTCGGGCCCCGCCCCTCACCACCCGGCCGCCTCATTGTGGGCCTGGCCTAAGAATCCCATAATGAGTTTGCTAAAAGAAGTCATCTTAGTGTCCATATGGCAGAGAGTTAAAAAAAAAAAAAAAAACATTCATTTTCTTGAATTTCTGGCGTTTTAAGATTTTCCTCTAATTCTTAATTTGGTCGGTTAATCAATTTGACATTCGTCCGACTTGGTCCACAAGTGTTGATCCAACTTTGAAACTTTCGCTCGTATCTTACGCAATGATATTTTCTTTTCTGACAGCCAACAATTTTTCTTTATGTCTTCATTATTTACAGAGCGAGAGTTTTGCTTTCAAAGGAACGCTACATTTATTTCCAAATTTTGTCATGTCTACCAGAGTCAGAGTCAAAGCTGGATTTTTCCGATCGACATTCTAAACATTAGAATCCGTTAGTTTGCGTTGACTCGTGACCTGACGGGGCTGCAATTTGAAAAAAATTGTGGACCTATAACGTCATCCCAAAGCGATGCCCCCGAAAGCAGTTAACATATGACCGGAACGACTCTTGTTAAAGGAAACGTATGATGTACTGTACAGTACAGTACAAGCCACTACTAATTTGAGGCGAAGAGCATACACAAAGTAGGGAAGAAAGTCACTTAACACCCCTGTTACAAAATATAGAATGTACCCAAAGTTAATTCGCTCATGTCAGGAACATTTACAAATTTTCCATGTGGAAAATGAATGAATATTTTATTTTAATTCAAGCTGACATGAAATTTCACCCATTAAATAGTGTAGAAAAGTGCTGTCGGGCCACCTCACATATGCAAATTAACTTTGGGTACATTCTATATTCTGTAGCAGGGGTGTTAAGCGACTTTCTTCCCCACCCTATATTTTAAATTCAATAAATTAAAAATATGATTAAAAATTACAGTCTGACATTGTGACGATGTCAATAAATAAATGCTCGTTAACATTAAGTCCGTCTCTACTGGATATATGACACGCGATCCCTTTCATCTCCCTACCCCTCGACCAAAATTTATTAGCATCAATCCCCCAATAAACAAACCTCCTGCAAAATTTCAAAACTTTTCGACAGGCGTTAAGCTTCAAACAGGGTGAACAAAATCGTACCACACACTAATATTCACACGTACAACAAATACCCCTCAGTTTTTTGCATTTCTCGACGTTTCAAGATCCAGAGTCCACATGTTGCCATTTTTTCAAAATTGCTGACCAGGACATTTTAAAATTAGGATGTTATACTTAGAAATAAAAAGATTAGATTTTTTTAATTGTGAGTAGAAAGTAAGTATTTTTTTATTAGAAGGTAAACATGTAACCATCGATGTTCATGGTTTAACCATATGCAAATTTAAAACAATTCGTAACTTACGAGTTGTTTTAATTTTGCATATAGATGCGCTCGATAAGACAGTTTGTTATTGCGGATGTGTGGCGGTATAATTTTAGAGTTTTAATTTATTTTTTCATGAATTATGTTCTGTATGTGTGAGATTGAAAAAATCACGAATGAAAACTTCGAAGTAAATTATGGTTGGATATCTGTTGACGTATCTGCACAACTGTAGACGTTATGTTTTCTTCACGACCACACCGAGAACAATGAGCATTTATAGTTCTGTAAGCTTAGGAAGTGTTTAGTCATTACTACAGCGTTGCCATTCCTAGTACATTTGTACTTTTCTGGTACATTTTGCCTTTTCGAGTTCATTGAAAGTACACTTAGATTTTTAGTACATTTTGAGTACATTATAATATTTCAGTACTATTTATGGTACAAAATAATATTTCATGCCTTAACGAAAAAATTAGTTTAATAAAGTCTCCTACGGGACATTCCAATTTTCAACGCGAATGTTGAGTGTTGAAGTCAACAATTTGACGTCATCAACGACGTTCCAACTCGAGTACGAAGTGCTTAGTTCCCATAATTCCATTCTCAGCAAGATGGATTCCATTCAAATGTCTTACCAATTACCCACAATTCATTGGAAAGTAGTAGTCAACATATCTGTTGAGTGCTGAGTGTGTTGAGTCAGCGCTGACAACAGCGCTACCTCAACGTTGAAAAAAGGAACGAATTTTAACGAATGTTGAGATCAGCGCTGAGTCAGCGTTGAAAATTGNTTTTTAAAAAATCAACTTTTAATGCTGTATTTAACAAAAAACCATAGAAACTATTTTCATAAAATCTTTTTATGAAATATTTAATTTTAAAGTATTCATATTTAACAAAGTATTCATGAATATGAATTTGAAATAAGCACAAAAATTGAGTATGATGGTATTTATATCAAAAGTAACCAACCATAGTAGTAGTACATTTTGAAGGAGCTTCAGTAAGTTTTGAAATTTCATTGTGGCAATGCTGAATTACTATATTATTAAAGGTCTTCCAAGAGACCTCTCTCCTCTCAGCAGGGAGGGATTCAACGTTTTTCCAAATTTCGGACCAATTATACGTACATTGAAGAAAATTGGGATTGAAATATTATGTATCTTATTATACTGTATATAAAACTTGGTTTAACTTTCTCATCATTAGTTATGATCTGATCGTTATTAACTAATAAGTCACGTAAATAATTCCTCCACTTACGATAATTTTTAAATATGATAATTCCTCCACTTATGATATTTTTTATTGTTGTTAACTAGAAAAGGTTTACTCCCCTTCGACTGAGTGAATTTCCATGTTATTGATCGAGAATATACTCTACAAAACATGTAAGAGAATGATTTCTCGATTTAAGACAGTTTATCATCATGTTTGATAACTGTAGCGAATCCTCGAGGCTCCTGGTGTCCCAAATTATCCATCCTCCACTATAGACTTCATTTTTCATAATATTTCAGTTCAATGGTTCAAAAGAACTCTGCCAAGTATAGTTGAAAATGAGGCGTTCTATCCTGTTTATATCTTCAGATTTTAAACTTATCACATATAGAATGTACTGTATATAATACGTGCATAAAATACCTTATTTGCTATTATGACACGTTCAGGTAAGTATAAATAATTTATATTCCATTCGTTTATAGCTTCTGTTACTTTGTCTTTTATTAACTGAACATTTTTATTGTACCCATATAAACCATACCATACACCAAGAATTTTGATCATATCAACATGCTCAGTTTGCATCATATCACAATTTATATTTCCATAAACCTTCATTACTTTACATTTATTTTCATTATAGTCATACCAGTCAAACAGCTGAATTGTTTAATTTTCTCAATCATTTTATTCATAGCAGACTTATTTAAAAAGAAAAAAGCTAATATCATCAGCATGTGCAACCAATTTAATTTTTTCCTTAATTCCTGGAATGTGAATGGGAGTTATTAAATCATCACTTTGTACATTTCTCAATAAAAGTTCAATATAAACAGCAAAGAGAATCATTGCCGAAGGGCATCCTTGACATACTCGTTTCACATAACACATTGCTAGAGTAAATGCCATTCACATTTATTTGTGTATTTGGCATATGGTATAATAATTTTATCTTATTTGTTTCCTCGCTGTTAATTAAAACCATAGCAATCAAGTAATTTCCAGAGGATATTTCTATTAATAGTCTAATATCAAATGCTTTTTTAACATCTATAGAAAGGATGGAGAGTGGTAACTTATTTTCAATATATGTATCATTTATAAAGTTTAGAAACATTATATTTACAAAGTTTAATTTTAAAAACATGTAACACCTCGATTCACCTGACTCTCATTTTAAATAATTCAATGTTTCAAGAGCATATAATTTTTAATAGTACATTTTTTTACACACAACCATTTATATATGTAAATAAAAATGTTCCTTCAAATGTTTCTTCACTACACACGAAAAGAAGCGCACGTGGTCGGATATTTGGCTGAATTTCTTTATTAAAGCAAGATATCTGAAAACAACTCAAATAATGCATCATTTTCTCCATGCTGTTGCGAGTAATAATAGACCAAATTCAAGGAATCATCTTGTAAAATGAAAAGATTTCGTGGGGACCATTATCCCAAGCTAAATTTTTACACGTTTAATTAGTTGCGGTTCGAATTCCAAGTACAGTAGTAGTAAAACTCAGTGGACCTTCAAAGGCATTCCACTCATACATTAAAGAGTGACTGGACGGCAAGAAAAGTGATTGATAAAG